TTGTACCTATGCAACCTGAACAGGACTTACTTGTTTCAACTTTATATATCATTGACCCATTTCTTATAACATTGATTCATTTTAGTCATATAACAGATGCTCATACAAATAAAATTTCACATCCTTATGTCATGTCCTACCACCTGGTGGACTTTCACACATTCCACCCAAAATGTACTACAGTACATGTATCAGCGAGGCCAACATGAGCTTTTCTTTCATCTGTTGCATTTCCAGTGAGAAGATCCTCTGAATACAGTTGTTTTCACTCTATTCAAGCAGCACAGCTACTTCTTCTCTTACATTTCTCGCCTTTTACCGTAACTCTTTCTTTCTTGAACATTTTTATATAACTGAGCTAATCAGCCCTGGTTTTCCAAAGGTCAAATATCAAAAAGTTCAGCTTCCTTCTCTTTCCAGAAGGAGAAGCTGCGGTCTATGTATCGGCAGATCTCTTCGTTGCTGAACTCTCCCAACTCCGAGATGAGCTGGACGGAGTCCTTCCTTGTTTCCAGGATAGGCTTCAGCTCCTCCCCCAGTTCTTCGGGAGCGTCCTGCACTTCGGGCGGCCCGGGATCAAACTCCGAGTCTGGCTTTGCATCCAGGATCGGCTCTTCTGCCACCTCCAAAGGGGCCACTTTGCTCTCCTCCACAAAAAAACTCTGTTTTATGTCTTCAAAGCCATCTGACCAGTCCCGCTTACCACACTCGATCTCCTCCATCACTTCCTTGTGGAACTGGCGGATGAGCTCCCAACTATAACTGCCCACGCGGTCAAACATCTCGTAGCAGAGAAGGTGGCGAAACTTGCGCTCCGCACGGGACATGCTCATCTCCAGGAGCTGGAAATAACCCAGCATGAAGAGGTCCAGAGTCAGACTCTCATAGTCCACTGGGGCACCGCTGATGTGTGGGAGGAAGTGCTCAGGCCAGTAGATCATCTGGGAGCGGCTGAGACGCCTGATCTGCCGCGTGGGAACCTGGCTGATGATGGTCCGCCAGTGACCGATCAGCTTCCCCACCACCTGCCTCTGCTTCATGAAGTAGATGAGCCGGTCATCCTCGCTAGGAACCTGTTCCTCGGGATCAATCTCCGCGTTGCTGTATGATGTTTGCCGGTCACCAAAGCTGTTCCCCATAGCCGCCGAGACACTCCTTCGTCTCTTGATGTGCTTCCTCCTGAAGGAGTCCGTGAAAGTGTATTTCCTCCAGTGCTCCAGGAACAGGAATACAATTCGTTCCTTCCTCATATCTATGTACTCTTGAACATAACTCAGATCTGTCTGCACCTCAAGGCTTCGAGTCAGTTGGTCTGAGCTAAACACAGTATCTTGGTCTACAGACAAGCTTTGGTCAATCTCTGACTGACAGAAGCTGTCTGAACCCACATAGGTTAATGGGGCATAAGAGGGCACAATGGTCGGCTCATTCACAAGATTTGTGCTCGACACGTCATGCACTGATGCTGGTAGGCTGTGGCTTGACCAGTGGATTTCATCAGTCCCATAAAGGTAGTCTTCTTCTAGGATAGGTTCTGACCTATAACTGTTGGACTCGCTTCCTATAGGCAGAGACCTTTTGCGTTTGTAAACTCGATTCGGTCTGCTGTCCAAAACCCTGGATTGGCCCTGCAGTTCATAATTGGCCTTAAGGTTCTTCACTGATACACCACACTGCCTGATTTCTTTTTCCACCTCCTCTCTGGTGGAAAATGACTGGGATCTTCCTATGTTGACAGAGGAAACAGGAGGTGCAGAGCTTGCTGGGCTTTGTGCTGGCATTTTACTGTCCTCATGTTGGGCGCAAGGAGATATCATGTCTAGGATGTCTACTTCCTTCCCCCCTAATGTGGCCAGAAGAATAGCCATGCTCTTCAGCACAGTGGAAATCTTGCTACACCAGGCTGGGAGGTCTTCAGCCTGTCCCTGAACTTTCTTGGGGTTGACAGAGAAGTGCTCATGGTTTAAGGCAGCAGATACAGGCAGGAGCTGCTGGAGCTCTTGCTCAAGATGGTTCAGCTCCTTTTCCACTTTCTGGACCTTGTGCATGACCTGCAAGTTCTCAATCTGCCTCTCGATTCGAATGAGGTCGTTCTCTGTCATTAGTTCACCAAATGGGCCCAGGATTGCATTGTGGGTATGGGAGTAGTGCCAGTCTTGTGGCTGATAATACCCGCTGCCTGCAAACTAGATGAAGGATAAAACAAAAGGAGAGGGGGAAGATGTTTCCCTCAGGTTGTTGGAAGACAGTTTCAATGGACTCCTCTCCACACATTGTCTTTACATGGATTTAGTGGTGCAATGGTATTGCCTCTGGAGGGAGAGATTGGAGGCTTCAGTAAGAAAAAGTTGGAAAATGAGTAATGGAACAAGGATAGGAGCAGAACAGAGCTTCTTGACAGTAAGTAGTGCTTGTCGTGGAGCAACAATGCTTAACCAGCTCTATTTCCAGAGTTAAGCAAATTCACACGTTGTTTAAAGCAGGGATGGACAACTCTTATCCTCCATGTTTGTATCCTTGTAGTTTTCAGACTCTTTGTAATCAGCACTTGATTAAAACTTGGAACTAACAGATCATTTACCACCATGGAAGAAAACGAGGGGGCTCTGGAGCCCTTAATAGAGTTGTCCAACCTTTATTTTAAAAACTTTTTGCAACCAAACAAGCTAGATGCGCTGAATGGCTTCCTTTAGTTTGTAACCTTTCTTGTTCTTAAAAGGTGTTTTGAAAAGCATTACAAAAGCCTCTTGATCTAGCTACAACACACATAAGCACTGAAACACCCCAGTAAAGAATCTCATGGAGATGAGGTCACAAGAATGAAGTGAAACCACAAACTACACAATTAGTTTTACAACACTCTGGAACAGTTAAGGACATAAAGGAAAACAAAGAAAAACATATTCCTATTCAGCAACAGCACCTAGGCTTGACTGAGAGTACACTTACTTCTCAGACAGTAGTGTGCATGGGCCTTGCATCACACCACTGAATCGACATGTAAGTATTGAGAGCTGCAGTATATCCTCACCACATAGCTGCCTCTCTAATATCACTGTAACTGGCATCTCCATTGTGTCCAACAAGAGTCATTAACCTTGTGACTGAACTTCTCATAGTCTGGAGGCTAGCTTGGAATAGATACTGCATCTTCAATGTATCTGCACCACACAGACAAGTCACTCAATCAAGTGGTGGCATCTCACACAGCTCAAAGGCATGCACAAATGGGAGAAAAGTTTAAAATGGCTTTCACTGTAAGAATGCCACTTTCACATTCATGGGTGCAGAGAAACATGCATAGAAACTGTAGTTATGGCATGTAAGAAAGGCAGTTGGCTGTTCCATGTTCTGCACCCACACTTACAAAAAGCAGAGCGCATGTTTTGAACTTCACTTCCAGTGAAATGACAGATGATTACAGTGAAAATGATATGGACAGAAAGCATCCACTATAATCCTGACAGATAATAGAAAACAAGAAGTAAAAAGCATAGAGGGCTTCTATGTTATCTCAATTTTCAAAAAACAAACAGTCCATTTAAAGCCTTCTTTTACTCCTTATTTAGCATGAAGCAAAATATGATTTTATCAAGGTTTTTATTATGGCAAAATACACTTTAAGCCTTCTCTGAGTTTTTAATTATGTTTTGAAAAACAGTTATTAAATAATTAGACCATGAACAGGTGGAAAGGTGTTCAATTCATTATATATAACAACTAAACAAAGATCAAATTGGTGCACAAATAAGTGATGCCAAAAAAAGCATTCAGTGAGCATTTTCAGAAGCTAATCCCCCACTCCAACTGCAGACTGTCTGCATGTTCACATACATGAAGTCTGTTATTACTAAATCATAATTTTATCTAAAGGAACGTACAAGGGCACTGAGTATTTTACTGGAACAATCTGAGGGAAGTACCTTGTTCAAGCGTTAATGTCTCAATTGGGATTTGAACCCATAACCTTCTAGATATTTGTTCGGAGCTCTAAGCTATGTTCTTGACTGCCATTTTCTATCCGTTCTATGGTCTTGTTGAAACAGAGTGGATTTGCACACCCTCTGTTTGTGACTCCGCCTTCTCCTAGCACCTTCTCACTAACTGGATTAAATAAGCAAGGGATCAGGGGCACCTCTGTGTCTTAATGATGACAGACTAACTGGCAGCCAGTGCTGGCTCTACATACAGTCGGGGTTGCCGATAGCCCTAAATACTGACAATGCTTAACACTGCATCGAATAAGCAACAGGATTTCCTTTGGATTAAGCCCTGGCATCACACAACTCAGGATTCTGCCACCTCTGTCCTTGCCCTGTCTAGCGTTGAGAGCAATCCTTTATTATTTTCATCTCTCAGGATGCCCATGCAAAGAGACAGTGCATTCTTCAAAGCAGTAAGCACTGACTGCTCTGATAATATTACTCCCCCTGTCTGGTGCTGCAGTCAAGTTATTGTTTTAATGGTCTCCTTTCATTTTTGGACAAACTAATTTCCCACTTTCCTAGGTTCCCCGATTTAAAAGTGGGTATTACGTTAACTTTGTTCTATGGAGAGGAAACTTCACGTGAAAAATCATATTGGTACATATAGGAGGTGTAAGTAATGTTCTTCAAAGACACTTTTACATTCTATATCGAATTAGGCAAGACACCGTCTGTCTTTTGGGTGCTTGAGTTCAAAAATCAAAGGTATAAAATGAAGCTCCTGGTTCTGAGCTCAGGGAAGGATCTGGACTGTTCTGAAACTCCATTCACAGTTGAGTTATCGAAAAGAGAGCAAAAGCAGGTTCATGCAGTTCAACAGCACATCACACATCAATGGATCCACTCAGCTCCCGATCCCTGGTTTCTGAGAGGAAATGCTGTTGCTCTTTTATAGCCTCCTCTTTTGAGACCTTTAGGTGTCTAGGGAAAGAGGCCTACTAGCTAACTTGCAGCATAAACCCGAGAAAACAGGGATGCCTGAGCCCTCCATCCGCCCGGTCTCGCTCGACATACCTTCCGTTTCAGTTCCTCCTCCTCTTGCATCTTCATCTGCATCTTGCGCACCATCACCTGTCTCTTCCACTCGGGGATGGGCCTGCCCTGCTCGTCGAGGGTGGGCACCAGCGTCTCCACGTCCACCAGGCTCCCCTGGCGGCCCAGCTTGGGCTCTGCGTTGCCGTTCACCATGGGGAAGAGCTGCTCCGAGCTCGTAGCTGCAGCCCTGGGGGCCAGGGTACTGCCTGGGGCAGATGTGGAGGGTGTGGGTGGCTCTGTGGGACTGGGGGAGGAGGTGGGTGGAGAGTTGGGAGCCGGGGGCGGAGATGTAGGGGTCTCTGCCTGCAATGATACAGTGACGACAATTAGGCAGAGAGCCATGCTATTGGATTGACTGATATCAGAGCCTGTTGAAAGGGCAATACCTAGGCAGATACCACCCATGTAGAGAGCAGTATTGGGTGGGTGAAGGTAGCTTTCCTCAACAGAAATCTCTTCACTCAAAAGGAAATGTAGGTGGCTTTAAGTATTTAAAATCCAGTTTGCAGGATGGGTTCATACTCTCCAGTCTTGACTGCAGAAGAATTTTAGAAACTTAAATCTTCAGGGCTTTAAAACAGATGCACTAGAAGGTAACATAAATAGAATTGATAATCACTAGGTCTACCGGTAATGATAAAGAATGGACTTCGATTTCCCTGTAAGAGTATGAGAATGCTTATAACTAAAGCAGTCCTAATTAAAGGATGCAATGAAGATACCAGTTTCAGACAGCCTTAGGTGAATGATTACAAAGTATTTAGTGGAGCAATAGCTTGTAAAATAAAACATAACATCCAAAGATAACGTTCAAAACCTCTCCTACTAAATGTAATACTAAGAAAAGCTTCCCAATAATATGCAAGTAAAAACCCTAATTGCTTCGATGGAGTATCTCTCCATTAAGAAATATAATCCTTCCTGATGAACCCATAAAACTGTTTGCGTGCCACAATCCCAACATCATAATTGCTTATTATTTCTAATTGCTGGGCTGCAGCTTTCTAGTCAGGAGGTAGTTATGCAAGTAACAGAGGCAAACACTGCTGCTGTTATGTGAGCAACAGCAATCTGGAGCAGGCCATTGAGCTTCTCCTTCTATGCTCTTTATCACGCAAGTTTAAAAGTTGATCAGGAATGACATGAGTCATTACTCAATCCTTCGGTTCTTACCAACCAGATGTACAATGCAAATGGCTGTCAACAAACAGAACAGCGCAGCTAAAAGCAAGATCACTTTTCCTATGTGTGGTTGTCAGACTGGCTACATGGACCTTTAGTCATGTGGGAACAAGGGGGATTATAAATGCTTATTCTTATCCTTTTCAAATTTTAACAATGACTTCAATTGAATTTTCTCAAATGAAAGTCCAGGTATTTTTTTCTGAATTGAGAGCAGGATTATGCTAAATTGATGTGCAAACACAAGCCTGAGAAATTAGTTCTTTAAGACTACTGAGCAAACTGAAAACATTTTTTTAGTTTTCCATTAAGAACATGTCATATCAGGGAGGCTTAGGAAACATTAACATTTTATATTTTATAACATTTATAATTGTACAGGATATAAAAAATAAATCAAACCGGTGTTGCATTACAGTACACCACAATTCCCTATATTTTAGGTGCTGAAGGAAAATGTTTTTAATTTTTTAGTATTGTGGAACTTGTGTTCATTCCATACTTTCAGCATAAAAGGACACGGTTACATAACAAGTATATCAAAGATCATAGGCAATTACTGTACAATGAGTATTGAATCAAAATTAAGTTGGGCTATGGCTGTAGTGTTTTGTGGTTTTAGTATCATAAACCAACCGCAGTTAAAAACACTTTTATTAGAAATGATCAAAAAGCAATATGGCATGCTATTTTGAAAATAAACCATTAATATTCTTGTGCAATTTAGGGAAAAAGATACCGTTTCTTATAAATTGCAGCACCCTATACTCTGTAATATCCAATACAGTGGAATGAAGTATTTTAATGGAAAATTGTCTTATACAGGAAAAAGGAAGTATTACATCTTGTCTTTAACCTGATGCAACTAACATAGTGCTTAAGGCTACTAGGAGGTACCCTGTATTTTGTAGGTGTAAGTTTGAATATCACTAAAATAGACAAAACCAACTCCATCCCTCAGCTACTTTGTATCCTCAAAGAGAAGGATATAGTCATGTATGTGAAGCAGGGAGACAATACATGAATCGGCATGTGCCTGAGGACCTACAGTACATTAAAGGAGCCATCTTTGTCAATACCAGTGCCATCGGCTGACTTGCCAGGTCATCAGCACCGAACAAACCCCATTTAAATGGGGCTTGTATAGATAAGGTAGATCAGACTTACTGCAGTGTGTAAGCGTGCCTTCAGTCACCTCAATCAGCCAAACCCAGATCCACCTTGGGGAGGACACCAGGGTGGATCTAGGGAGCATCAGTGATGTGGATTGCGGGGAGATTACAAGATAAAACTCTTTTGCTAGCTACTGTGTGCAAGTACTAAGAGTTTTTTTACTCTAAAATCAAGATACCGCTGTGAACAGTGATATAACGCACTCACATTTTGCCCTTGGTGCCCGCTGTTGGAAAAGACTGTTGTAAATCCTCTGCTGTGTGGCGTTGGCTTCAGACTCTTCCCTGCTTTGATTTCTGCCAGCAGTTCTGAATTGTCACCAGTTGGGGACATCATGTTGAATGACTTTGTACCTGAGAGAGAGAGAGTTGGGGAAAGGGAAGGTTTGTTAGTGAGCAAGACTGTCAATCATAACTCTACTCTCCACGCTTCGGTTTCTATTAATACGAATGAGCTGAGTGGAATAGGACAATGCATTGTTGTTTTCATTTGGCACATGGCAGATAGTTTAATAATGATAGTGTTTGTTCTTATTAAGGTACAGTACACCAATCAGGTGTTAACTTCCAAAACTGGAGATAATGTTATTAAAATGAAATGTTAGTGTTAAGCCCCTTTGACTCCTTAACATGTACCTCTGAATGCATAAACGCTACACGACACCCTAACAGGATAAAATGGCAGTCTCAGTAATATAACAGAATCTTATTTTATATGGTAATTTTTCTCAAAATGATATTCCCGAAAAATCTCAATTTCTGGACAGCTTCATCTGACCAATATCCAAGTGAGTGTCTCTTTAGTCATAGAATCAAAGTGCTAGTAAGATAAAGCGATAAAGTCTTCCGTGAGAGACTAAGGTAGAGGGCGGTGCTAATTTAATTTAAACTCCTGACTCTAAACAGACAGCAAGACAACTTAGATTACCATCACTTAAGCATAGCATCTAGGCAGAATGGCATAGCAGCTGCCACAATTTCCAACAATTTCCAACTTTACCTCAACTTAATCTCAATTAAAATACCAGACTGCAGACGATAATCAGCTTGTTCAGGAGAAACGACCCTAAAATCTGTCTCGGTTTCATATTGCCCTTTTATTTTTAATACCCAGAACAAAAGCCATTTTGTCTAGCACTTCACAGTGCAGGGGTGTGTTTAACAACAAGAGGGAGCTCTTGAACAGGATTTCCTTTGCACGAATTTTTAACAGAATGTAGATGCTGAATTCTCCCACGAGACTTATGACATTTTTGTTTTTGCAGATATTATTCACAGACCATTGTCGAACACTTTGGATTCAGCAACAGTGAGACAATTGTTAAATTATGATCATATGATTAAACCAGTGTTGTTTGCAAGATCAAGCTGGGTAATGATAGTTGAAAAAATGTTTATGGAACATGCAGGAACGAGTCCTGCTTTCAGACCCAAAAGCTAATAGTGATGACGAAGCATATATTCACACACCCAACTATATAGCAAGCCTATTAACTTCAAATAAAACTCCTATAAATAAAAATTTCCCCCAACTTTTACTCAGGGATCAATTGAATGCTAGTAAAAGTGTTCATTCAAGTCAAAATGATCAACAGAAAGAGAATCACATCCATGTCTTTTAACCCTCTGAAAGAGGGCCAATTCAACACGACAAACTAATTCAAGCCAAAACAGACTCAGCCAAAACTGAGAAAAGCTTCTGGGATTGGATGTGGATTAATTCACACAAATCAAAACGAACTTTTTATTGAACAGCAGCAGAAGCAATTATCTCCTAAAATCACAAATATGCATACTGTTGCATTTTACAAGACTACGTTTGACTGTACTCAGTAAGCACAAAGGCACATCATTGCCTGTGTAGCCAGTGATATTTTGTCTTTACTGTAGGCTGCACATATTTAAAAACACTGCTAACAAGCAATATGCATATCATCAGTGAGTGAAAATCAATAGAGCTCTCAATTTGGAATGCAGTTGGTCTACCCTGTAAAAGAAACATGTGCTAAAAGAATACAAAAACTTTCAAATAATCACTTTTATAAAATAAAATCATCCACAGCTCAACAGAACGTTAAAGAAAAAAAAAACTAATACAGTACATCACCTGCTCTTAAGCTGGCGAGAAGAGTCTCTTCTGAACTGGTGAACGAGCTACAACGCTTAGCGTTCTTTCATGCCTGTTTGAGTTCCAAAGACTCAGATCACATAGGGGCAATGCATAAAGGCTGAGCCGAGACCAGTGTCTCCTTCTCTCTCTCTTTCTGGGAGACTGGAGCATGGTTCTTAGGAGCCTATCACAGCCCAGGGGAATCTAAAGGAATCAGCTGTAATTAGCAAAGACATGGAACGGCTGCCAAATTGGGAACGGACTTAAGTCCCCCCTCACCCTGCCCCCTCCACCCGACACCAAACAGCATGGCAGCTGCTCGTGTGCGGGATTAGTGAGAACATTCTGAAATGCACAGCAAAAAGATCCAATTGCCACACAGGCTGAACTGGACAACTCCTGGATGAAAGACTATGCAGCCATTACAGAAGCACAGCTCTCCATGTGGTACCCATAGAGACGTCCAGCTGCTTGGGTGGAAATGACACAAGGCACATTGGCAGAACAGACCTACTGTATTGGCAAGGGTGGTCCTGTCCTTCAAGCCTTGCAGATTTCCACCTGCCTGGGTATTTGTGGTGAGGTGAAGGTCTAACAATTAACAATTGTTTTCCTTTTTAGCACCTTTTTCCATTTATGTCTGATGTGCTTGTTGATCTGCAGGAACGGCTCCTGTCTTTTCTCTTTTGAAAACCCAACAGGGAATGAAGTTTCAGAACAGTCCAGGTCCTTCCTTGATCTCAAAACCAGGAGCTTCATATTTATACAGCACCATCGATATTTGAACCCAAGCCCCCAAAAGACAGAGGATGTCTTGTCTGTTTTGACAAAGAATGGAAAATGCGTCTTTCAAGTACATTGCTCATACTCCCATGTGTACCATTAAAGGTTTCTTTTTTAGATTTCCATGATTTTTTTCATTTTGTTCATCAAAGCTGTAAAGGTTCCAAGCACTGATGGCATATTCTGAAGAAACAGTAGACTAATATGCCTCATCAAACCAAGGAAGGCCCATCCCACACTAGGAGACAGGTCGAGAGTGCTGAGGTCTGGGCATTGTCATCACTCCCCCTTCCCAAATAATGTCACAGAACACCAAATGGACTTATGAAATGCCTCCTACGAAGCACCCTAAAATTGCATGTTTTAGATTTCATATCAAACATTAGCAGTACCCGGTTGGTTAAATGGATAATGAAGAATACTTCTAATGAGAAGAACAGAAAACCTTATAAATGGATTAACTCTTCTTTATCCCCCAAAAGGTTCATGTCTGGTGATCACGTATCAGTAGCCTGCCCTAGAGCTCTGCATTGCCAAAGAAAAAACACAGCAGTGTTAAACCATCCAGACACTGATTCCTGGAGCCAAACCCAGAGTTTCTGATTAGTTCACATGTCCCACAGGTTCTAAGCACTGTTTGCGCTTTTGTAACTCAGGCCATTATAAGAGAATTATATTTATCCCTCTCAAAAGCAAGCAAAGCCAAAACCTTCTCAGAAAATCCTAGCTTCAGTTACTCTCTCCAGGCAAATCTCAATTCCCCGTGACACTTCAATTCTCCTACAGTTACATGTTTTTGTTCTCATTGGTTTTTGAGCATGCTACAGCATGGATGTACTGTATAGCCTTTTGATACCAATGCAATCAGCAGATGTGAGATAAGTGCTTGGAACTGGAGGGTGTGGTGGGGCACAGTGTTCATGAACTGGTGCAGGTACTTGTACTGTAACTGGTGGGATGTTGAATGTTGTAATAGGTGCCTAAGGGAGGCCCTCTCCTTTCAGGATCCTCCCTTTGGAACAAACAACAAAGTGGGATTAAATATTCAGCAGCAGGCAGTCACAATGGAAAAGCAGGTGTCTGGAATCCAAACACAATGTCGGTATGACAACAAAAGTAACCTTCTTAAAGGGACAGCAGAGTTTTTCTTTTTAAAACAAAATTAAACATCATTAAAGGAAGTGAAGTCCTATTCCTCAATGTCTAACCTTCAATCAAAATAGTGAGATCTGTTTAAAACAAACAGACATGATAACACAGGATTAAAGGTACAGTGTACACATTTATTCTAGACTGGGTTGTTGAATCTCAAATTGTGCCAGCCTCTGAATCTGTCCTTTAAATTTCATTTAAAACTCTGCTGGTTTCCTTGTGATTTCTGAAATATGCTGCTCTCTGCTTTGGATTCTGCATCAGCTCTTTAAGATCTGTTCCAGTATACAGTATTCCAAAACTCCTGATCTTGCCAGCCACTCTTCCCATTGGACTCTTGTATCTCCAGTCCATTCGGACTTCCTGCTGCCCCCTTTTCCTCTCTCTACAGTGAACATGTATCTGGTAGCAATGTTCCCTTCCTGCTCATTTTCCTCCTTTTATCCCCAAATGGTGAAACAAGCTACTTTCATTCTTAAGAACTGCACCGTTTCAAAACTGCTGGCTCAGCAGTCTCTCTCCATGCATTGCAACTATCCAATTAGTTTTCTCCAGCATTGCCCCACAAGGCATCATGTTACAAGCCCCTTTTATTCAAATCCTTTTCTACCGCAAGATCTCACATTTGTGATTGCTTTTAGTCTAATTTTAAATGTTGTAGATGAATTGTGTGGCATGGATGTATTTGTTATTATTAATAATAATAAATACAGATGCTAATGGTAAGAATTGCCTTATTCACATTCTCTCCTTCTGCAGACCAAAACCACCAGGACTAATGACAAGCCATGTGCGTTTTTCTAATGAATTTGAATTTTCAGATATGTTAATGATAACATACCAGAGTATCTGGGATAAAGGAAATAAAAGTGACCAGCTACAGGAAACCAACAGCAAATGATGCTAGTAACACAACAGACTGATGTTAAGAGAGGCCTAGAGAACATCTATACAGTCTCTGTACTTACTTTTCATTTGTCTGAGTGTGTTCGCTTCGAAGTTGAAAGCAGGTTTAGTGAAGGAGTTGGAGAGGAGAATGGCAAGGCAGTGAGAGAGATAAGAGTGTAGCACCTCAGAAAAGGGAGGGAGTGGAGGCAGACCCAGGTGAGATAAAGAGGGAAGGTGGAACAGTAAGCAGTCAGCCGGGAGAGAACAAGGCAGGTTGACATCCCACCCACACATACAGAGGGAGGATAGTGTGATGACAGGCAGGATACAGGGCACAGGACAGTGCCACGGGAAGGCAAAAAAATGAAGAGGAAAAAAAGGAGACGAGAATCTGGATTAGTTCAACTGCAAGCCAAGAAACCAAACAAATAAAAAGAAATGTCTCTCTTTAAAACCAGATATTTTCCCGTGCTTTTTGAAATAAAGAGTTTGAAACTTCATACCCGTATCCCCTTGTTATAGTCAGTGTTCTGTGACCTCTCAGTGACAGCTGAGCTATGTAGACTTGCGTGTGTCCTGACACAACAACTGACTCCTGCTTGTCAGAAATGTTTGAACGGAATTTGCATCTTCGGTCCTGACGATGTTTCAGAAATCATGAATAAACTATAAGCTTCTGTTGAGACGTATAATGATGTTACTCTTAAATTATAATGCGTTATTTACAAGACTGTGTTTATAAAACGGTTATGCTGCTGTGAAGAAAAAACATTATGACACCAAATTAAGAGGGAAGATTTTCTGGATTGGAATCGGGCATGTCTTGTGGCTGTGACGTACATTGGAACCACAGCCTGAGCAAAAGATGAAAATGCCAACGAGAGCTTTCTGTTATATTAAAACCCTTTCAATACGGTAGGCTTAATAAACAATGAGCGCTAAGCTCAGGAAACAGGAGGCGTGCAGAAAATACGTCTTATATCTTAATTGGTAATCCCATCAAATCCACTGAGTAAAATCATTTTAATACCTGATGTTTGCAGCTCACTGTACAGTATGATCCCTTAACAACTTCCAAGCCCTGGTCATCAAAGACCCAGTGTCTGCTGGTGCTCATCCCAGCTGGATTTCTGGTGTGCAATTGAATCCTTGTTTGAAGTACTATTGAAACTGATTAGACCATTTGAACGGTTTTCTGATTGGAAAGTGTTTTCTAGCGACTTGAAAGGTAAATTTAAAAGACTGTCCAATCGCATAGAATGTTGAATAATTTAGTTAATCCTGGACTTCGAGTAAATCAAGAAAAAACAACACTAGGAGACACTCTGATCACGTGGATTGGAAATCCAAAACTGCTCTCCTTAACACAATTAAAAATAATATTGCTTGCTTCTTGTCAATTGGAATTGGTCAGCTCAATATATATAGTAAATAATATTCTCCACATTAGACAAAAACATTCTACAGTACATAAAAATACTTTGAACAATTCAATACAGCAATACTCATGGTTGGATACAGTATTACATTTAGAGCAGTTGATGGGGTTGTAACACGGCTACCTCTATATCAAGTGCAAAAAATGCAACAGCAGTGATGAGCGGATGATGCACAGTGGAGTTTATAATATTATAATACTGATGTATGTTATTAAAGCCCCCTAAAATCTGTATAATCAAATCACTTCAAAAGCCAGCAAAAACATTGTTCAGTCTTGCTAATTCGATGTTGGATTTAAATAGATTGTGAAGAAAGGATTAACAACATCAAATTTGAACCAGATGACTGAAGATGGAGATAAAAAAGTGTGGCAAATGTAAAAAGTACCGTTTAAAAGTTGCTAGAGTTACGTAGGAGAGCACACAGCAGGAAACATGCTGAAATATGAAATGTCTTGCAGTATACAGTATGTTAACCAGTCTTCCTAATCAGCATAGCATCACCTGTATGACAGCACAGACAATCGCTACAGTTCTAAACCGTGGAGCTGGAGTCACGTTCCCACGTTTGATGCGCAGTGCCCTCAGAAGGGGAGTGTATGGGGAAAACCTCTTCCCAACCGAAATCTCCAGGGATCCACCCCACAAGCAGCTCATGGCTGCTGGCTCTAACAGTTTCTCGCTGTGTCTGGTCAGCCGTAACTTCTCTCCTCAGTGGCCAACTCCTGCAGCCACCTCGGACTTTCTTCTTTAGAGTGTTTCTCAGACGTCATGGCCTGGACACAAACTGGGACCCTGTCGACGTCCCCCTGCTGGTTTTGCTGCATAATCTCTGAGCCTGGAGTCTTATCTCAACAGCAGGACACCACAGTGTCCCACACTGGCAGGAGACTCAGGTAGTGTTTTTACTATCGTTCTTGCCAGAGAACCTGCCACATTAGGAGCCTTGCGGCAAGATGTTTAATCTGGACTCGCAGACAAAAACAATTATGAATGTTCAAGTGAAGAGATTTCGATTTTTAAAGCCATTGAAAAATGTTTTTATACCATGGCCTCTCCTCTTTAGGTAAAAACTCTTTGGAAAATTAATTAAGCTTAAGCTATTAGGCTGAGCTGGGCAAATGGAGATAGAATAATATAAGCAGAACAAATTTTGGATGTTTTTTTGTTGTTGGGTTAGTGTTGTTAGTGTAGTTTTTTTATTTCTACACTTCAAGCAATGAACAATGATTTACCTGTTGACCAAACACATTACAGCTTAAACACATACAAAATGTAAACACAGCTGTCATCGCTGTAATAAAAATCTGTCCTTTGTGAAAGCTCAACACAGAAAATATTCCCTTGACTTTGCCACTCATTAAATTAGCTTTTTCCATGATTTATATTATGTTGCATGAGGCTTCACCACACCTCTCAATGTACTGTAAACTGTTTTACCAAGATGTGAATGTGTTTTACGGTTTCCTTCTTGCTAAAGCTACAAGGGATGTTCAAAGATTTATCAGCAGTGATCTGGAACCTATACAGAACTCCTGTAAAACTGCTGAATTATTCTCATGGAATATTGGTTTTCCTTTTAAACACCTGACAAAATGCATTTTTGCGTTACTGTGCTGAGTACGGCACTGCATACCTCACTGCAATGCAATCAGGTGAATGGCTGAACACAAAACCTACTCTACAGTAATAGTACCTTGATCCATCAATTTGTAATCAGTTATTCAGAGCGGGTAGCCCAGCCTGTCTCATGTGTTTCTAATGCACTAACTTGCTTTAATGCTCTCAAGAAAATTACATCAAGCTACTGTACACAACCAGAAGCAGTGTAGTGAAAGGTGGTGGATTTTGATGGATAGGAATGGCATTACATGTATAGGGATTACAATTAACAATCAATTTAAAAGCTGGAATTTAAATTACTAGCTACCTAGTAATTTCATATCACTACTTTATTTACTCATATCTTCATATTTGCATTATTGAAACACAAAATGTGCTACCCTACAGTTCCCATGAACTGACATGATGGATGCAATATAAGACCTTAAATAAATAATATAAATCTTTAAACTCTACCGAACAAACTCAAAGTACTATAAACCAGCACACATAACACATCAGAAGCAAAAAAGTGGTGAAAAATGCACAGTACATTGTGAAATCAAGAGTAAATAGATACTTTAATAGCTTTAATGGAAAAGACCAGTGTTTAAGTGAGTTTAGAGAATGTCAACAGTTGTGGAGTTTGAATTTGGGTGAGTTTCACAGGTGTGGTGTGGCACACAAGACATTTCTGTCTCACATGGTGTGGAACTTGGTCTTTAGCAAAATAAGAAGGCCTGAAGAATCAAATCTTAAATTAAGAGCCGAGCTGCATTCATGTAATAACTCCTTGAAATAATCTGAAGCTTGATCATTAAGTGCCTTATAAGTAAGCTGGAGAAGCTCACTCTAAATTTCACTAAGAGTCAGATGAAGAGTACTTCAAGTACAAAGGCCTTGTACACAAGTAAAACATTTCTGGACATACTGTACCGAAACCTATTTAGTATCTTACAAGCCACCTCAGAAAATATCATAATCCATTACTCTAATCTTAATGAAATGGAGATGCATTAATAGTTCAGCATCAGATAAGCAGAGCAAGTGAGTGGTGTTACACAGTTGTACGGTAAATACTTTTCTGACATTTCTAACATGCACATCAAATGATAATGTGAGGTCAACAGCAACAACAAGGTGTCTAACATTTATCATAGGCTTGATTTCAGTACTTTCAACAGCAAGAATAAAGTCACCAGCTTTGGTATGTTTATGTGGGGAAGCATAATTTCAGTCTTGTCAGAGCTTGCTGGTTATACAGCAAAGCAAATTATATTGCATCCATATCTTAATATGGCTGCATACTCTGGCTGTAGGTTTTGATTTGTTCTTCAAATGAACATGAGTGTCATCAGCATCACAGTGAAACCCATGTTCATGAAAGTCAATTCCCAACATCCCCACAACATATAAATATTAAAATGTGAAGGTCCTAGCACAGAACCCTGTGGAACACGCACAGGAGCAACCAGCATTACTTATTAAAAAGCCGAGATTTACCAATTGGTTTCTGGTAGCTAAATAGGAATACAGTAAAACCAAAAAAAGGGTATACCAGTGAGCCCTAGATCATATTCAATGTGGCCCAGTAAGATGCCTGATTGATAGTATCAAAAGGTGTAATTAGGCCTGGAAAAGAATATTAAATGACCTGTTTCTGAAGACATCAGCAACTCATTAACTAACTTACCAAGGGTAAACCCTGACTGAAAAGGTCCAGAAAGTTCATTAGATGCAAAATTGGATTGAGTTGCAATCACCTGTTCCAGGATTACTGAGAGAAAAGACGAACTGGAAATATGACAACTTGTTAGGTACTTGAGTGTCCAGGGAAAGATTATTTTTTTTTTAAATAGCAGTGGTCTTAATTTCGATAGGCAAAAGAAGAAATTAAAACACTTTCATATTTGTCAATTTCGATATTCACTTCTATTATTAGGCTCATTTGTGTCTGACTTCAATTACAGTTCATTCCATGAATCCAGAAATATCCTTATTTCATTCTCTCTTGTTACAGCTCAGTGCAAGAAGAGTTTAAGGCTGAGTTTGGCAAAGAATTCCATTTGCTTGTTAAGTAAGGTGACTGCAAAGGCAATGGAGATCATCACTACTGTTACCTGATGTACAGTATGATGTTCCTTTACTGCCACGTTTTTATCACTTGAATGCTCACAATGATCAATACTCAAGGAAGGACATTGCCGAGAAAATGAAGTGACTTGATAAAGAAAAAAATATAAGTAAGTTTAAATAAAGACCTACCAGATCCAACAAATTGTTTAACATGTAAAACACTTGTCAACCTAGCTATAAAGTGGTCTCAAACAGCAAATGCCAAAAGACACAGCGGTGTGTGTGGTGCTTTGTGAAAGTAAAGCAATTCTCTTCGCCTCTCCATTTTCATCTTCCTCACCTGTAAACTGCCTGAAATCCCAGTTTTCCCCATTCGAACGTGTTGTATCACGAGTGTCTGAGGGGTCTGGCACAGGAATGAGAGAGCGGGTACTCACTTCCTGAAGAAGAGGAGGGCCGGCGCTGGCTGGCGTACTGAGGTGTGTTGTCAGAGGGCAGCGGCGGGGGAGGGGGAGGGGTGGGCTGGCTCTCAGGGAGGGGGGGAGGAGGGGGCGGCAGAGGCAGCTCTTCCCCAGCTCCATTCTCAGGACTGGGGCCATTGTCCGCTGGCTCCTCCAACAACAGAGAGCCCTGGGGAGGGGTGCAAAGGAAGAGTCAAAACATATATCAGTTGCTGGTTCACACACACAGAATGTCAGTATCCCCATCCATCTAAACAGAGCTCAATGTCCTGTACCTCACTTCTCATTATTACCAGTATTCTACCTAATTCCTTTCCAAAACCTTTGAAAAATGTAAAAAAAAAAACATAAAGCATATTTATCAGCATCTGCTGCAAAGCATCAAACTCTTCTCTGCATTTCCCCGACTGACTGTAATGTAAAAGAAGGGCATCACAACTTGCTAACAAGTGATTTGCCTGCACCACTTAACCTTCCAGCTGTGTATATCTTCCACCTACAATCAAACCAACAAAACGTGCATGAACTCCAGGCTTTGCATCAGCAGGCATGCTCCCATTGAGAAGTTGATTAGCAGGGATCTGTGTTCAGCCATCTGCTCTACTGTAACAGACAGACGACAAACACAGAGGTCCTAATAGGCTCAGTGAAGATTACACTGAATACCAGTTGATGGCATTTATTCCAGAGAATGAAGATTATTCCCCAACATCCTAAAGAAATACCATTCCCTTTTTCTTTGATTGGCTAGGTGTCTGCCATTTTAGATGAGGAAAAACTACTATATAGTTATGCAAAGCAATAGCATTCTGAATGGCATTCTGCAATATGTTAAAGAGTCTGAAATACAACAGATGCAGTACACTTTGTCTTCTTATACTGTTTGTGAAATTCAAAGTATGGTTACCTATAAAAGCATTTATATTAGCACATTTACTGTTTGCTCAGTTACTAATGCTGCAGCTTAATAAGAACATAAGAAGATCCAAATGATCTCCTCTCCTTTAATGCCAGTGGCAAATTGATTCAAGGATCTCAGCCAGCCATTTCTTGAAAAAAGGAAAAAAACCCAGGCTATTATTGACAACATGGCTGGGTAGCTCTTCCCATACTTACAATGCTTTGTGTAAAACAGCTCCTGGGGATCTTGATTTTTCTAGACCTTTTTCTAGACTTTTAATTCACTTACTAATGAGATCCATCTGCTTTGTATGTAGAATATCTTTAAAATTCTCGCATCCATTCTGTGCCAATTCCATATCCATCTCCCCTCATTCTACTTTGTTTGAACTCCTTGCCTGCTTTACTGAAATGATAACCCCTTGTTTTAGGCTCTGCCTGTACTACTGCCTGTACTGCTTCAAAATATGCTTCAGAGAACACCACACAGCCCAATACATTCCAAAATGCAATCAGTTCTTTAAAAAAGTACTTTCGCTCAAAACATCTCTGAGATCCAATATCTGACTTTGTAGAGCAGTTCTAGAAATGTGACGAGCCCTTACAGAAAAAAAATACACAAATGTGCAAACAAATGTAAATGTCACAGTTTGCATATGGGACTTTAAGTCAACCGATAGTAACTTGAGGGGTAAATACAGACAATAAAGAACTTTAGGGTTAAATGGAGTAATAGGTAGAAATTATCTGTGGCTTTTTATTACTATGCCTTGCATGCATCACCAAAAATACATCTTTTCCACTTTTCTTTTAGCTATCCTTTGTGCACGAATTAGGAGCAGCTCAGACACAAATCACATCTTAATGTCAATTCCACTCTATTTCTTCATCATGTATGTACTGGTAACTCAAAACTGAAGAACAAAGAAAAGACTCTTGAAAAGGAAAGGTTAATGACACAATTAGTACATTATTTTTAGCTTTAGTTTTTGTCAGACACTGGCTGATGAAAGAGACAAAATATTCTTTATAACATGGAATTAAGTGCGAGTACAGTGGAAGTCAGAAACCTTGTCTGATTAGGGTTCACTCTAATCAGGATCTGCATAATTACTACTGACCAAAATGTTACACATGTTATAAATGTTCAGATGTGGTTTATTCAAATGAGAACCAATAACAATAAATAAACCACAGTGTCATGAATGTCATTCAAACATATAAACTCCCTCACATTAAAATAATCCCGGCCTGAGACAAATTCAAAACTTGTTATAGAGGTCAGGCTTTCTCTTGCGTCTGTCAATGGAGACCACTTACTGTACAAGACACCTAGACAAATACCCATGATGCGTCTCTTGACTATCTTTGATAAATAATTGACGTCTTCACCGTTAAGGTTTATAGTGTCATCACGGGCTTTCAACCCCTGTAGTGCATGACTGTGGAGAAGTGCAATTAACTAGCATAGCAATAATCAAAGTGCAGGTACTAGCTGAAATGTCTGAAAGTCGGCTCAAGAGTGACCTTTTTGTAGGTTTATTCTACTGCGTAAGTAATGTCCCCCAAAAGCAAACGACGGGGGGAACCCCAATTCCTGCCACAACGCCAATAATATGTTGTGATGTGCTCTGTGCAGTGGAGCAAAAATAAGGTTTGAGGACTCTATAAAACAAAGTATTAACACCATGTGTTTTGGCGAGTATCAAACCATTGTACTCATGTGAGGTCATCACGATAAGAGCGAGGCAAGTCTCTGGTTACGTGATGCCCTTGAAATAACACTGACCAGAACCCCCCCTCCTCCCAGCATGCCAGCTTCTGTACTGTACTGTACCTCCTCGCTGGGTGCCATGGTTTTGCTCCCACGTCGCGTGGCTGTGTCTTTTCCCAGGGCCTTGTAGTAATCCCCAGTGCTGGGCTGCTTGTTGAAGTTCCGGGATTTCCTGTTGGAGTCGACGCGGCGGAGTCTTTCTGGTGTGCCCTCTCCAGCAGTCTGCTGCTCCAAACAAGAACGGGGCACTCAGATTTACAGTCAAGCTCGGCTCTCCTATGTTCGTACAGAGCAGGTACAAGTAGCTTTCGCCGAAGGTTGGCAAACGCCACTCCAGAACTGCAAAACCAGCACTTAACACTGAATTCTCAATGAATAACATTTACATAGAAGAATAAATGCAATTTTGTAAAAAAAAAAACTTTATTAATAATTAGTCAGGATCAAATTACCTATAATTAACAATATATTCATGCTTCATTCATTAAAGGTTATAAAAATGGTGAATTACATTTTCTGAAGTGTTACCAAAGAGCCATTCATGGTTTACAACTGTTAAAGAAATCTAGATTTGATCAAAATATAAGTTTATTATGTTGTTGGGTTGTCTAATTGCTATGCAAATCCTAAAGAAAAGAAGGTTTAATTAAAGTGTTAGAGCCCTCAGTCACGACTTAGTTGACTGAACCTATAATTTCGGTATCAGGTGATTTGCAGGAATGATGCACAATAAATAAAATGGTTTTACAAACTTGAAGATTTTGATAGATGAGCAGGCAAACATTTGAACATCATTTCCCCTTCCAATCTGAATGCAGGCAAAGAGACTGGGTATAAGCTGATTTTGAGCAGAAAACACTGCAGTGCAGAAAACAAAAAACGGTTTCCTGCAACTCCAGCGTCTTTATGCAAGATCAGTACGTACATGTGACAAGTGTTGGAACAGATTTATTCACCACAACTGGAACAAAAGAGCTTTTCACAGCTTTTAGCTGGATGGTAATATGCCTGCTAAGCTTTCCCATACGGTGGTCAGAAAACTAAGGAGGTACTGTTATACGGTGACGCAACAATTCACACGCATTTCTTCTTGGCCAGCCAAAGGACAAAGAGAATCGCACTACAGATTACCAGTGCAAATCAGGATGACAATTCTGCCGTTTTCCCGTGATCTCCCTGCTTTCATCATGCATTTAACTGTGCCTCGACATGAGTTTGTAGCAGTTTTCTATACTTCTACCATGGTTTTGGTGCAATCTGGAACACAAGCTGAGCTGCTTTCTGTAGGTTTTAGTGCAGAAGCTTCCACAGAAGCACGACTCATTTACTCTTGGGTATGTTATTCTAAAACCCGTTCTTCAAATGCTGTACAAGACTCACTCGAGCTAATTTTACCCAAGAGGAAATGGGACTCGGAAGCTATTGACTCATTTCCTCTTGGAAAAACTTAATTTACATCTCACGCAGTGCACTAGTGTAAACACCTGCGGGCTTCCTCTTTCCTCGAACATTACTCAAGTTAAAATGATTATGGAAAAAATCCAGCTGACAATCTCGGAGTCAGACGAGCAGCTGTTTTTACTACCCAACTCACATTTTCCTAATGCAAAGGAAGTATTTGCATCTTGAATTTTAACTATAGGGATCAAACAGTAAATGCTACTATGCAGGGCAGCCAGGTGATGAGGATTATTATTTCAATCTACTTGAAATTACAAAACATATTTTGGCTGCAATTTACAGTGTCTACAGCACCTTTTCAGTACATGCAACATCTCTCATTATGTTAATACCTTGTACGGTGAAATAAAAATTGTTGCTACTTTCATATGTTTGGAATATATTCAGGCAAATTGTAAAAGAAATCTATTCTGAATCTGTACTCTATGTGGCCAAAATAGATTGTTGGACTATTGATTGATTTAACGATATCATCCAGCTGTTCCTCATTCTGATACCAATATCATACCCTGAAAAGCATGTCTGGGTACCTTCCAAATTCCCACAACCCTTTCTGTTACAAAGTGTCTCCTGTTTATGGTTTGGAATGACAGATACATTATAACCATAAGTTAGGATGATCAAGACCATGAAAAGCAAAATATGGAGCAATAAGGCAAAGCATCAAATGAAGAACCTACAACCTCATCTCACACAATGAAAATCACCCCCTTTGCTCTGTTTAAGAGAACTCCGAAGGACTGAACACACCAATCACATGCTGCAACTTAGCTCCACTGAGGTGAATACAGATACCTGCTAATTACCCACTATGGGGCAGATCCTTCCGAATTTCAAGAACTCCCAATGGAATCTGAGGCGAGACGTTTATTTCTTAATTTATTCTTCACTGCATATCCTTGCAAGTCCCAGCCTTCACGAGTCTGCATTCTAGTTGGCTTTCATTTGCATTTGACATATTGAGATGCAAGTCCAATAACAATGGCTTTAAAACAGAACTGTGCAAGTATAGTTGTTGCTTAAAACAAGTTGAAAATGAGCTTTACAGTCTTCTCCAGGAAAGAAAATCTGTGTCCCTTCAACCATCTCACCACCTCGCAGTCTTAGCACAGAATGGTGCTGATCGCAAATGATAGCCAGCAGGAGGGACATGAAACAGCAGGAAACCAGATATCAATAAGCAAAACAGCTACTCGCTCAGCTATCTATTCTACAGTACCTGAAACTCTCAATTTGACCTCAACCTTAACCTTTAGTGACCCTCTCATTTTAAAAGGCAAAACTCCTTTTAAAATCAAAAGCATCTCTCAGAGCTTTTGTTCTAGATAGGTCCAGAACTCTAGAGAACTTCTTATACACGAGTTGTGAGCCACATAGTAAAAATAAACTTTGACCTTCTCCTTACAGCTTAAGTTAAATGTCAGTTCAAGGCTAGGATGCTACATAATGCACATTTCAGGACCAGGTAATGATTATTAATAGTACTGATGTAGGAAGGATACAGTAGTAGCACTACTGCCAACCATTTTCAGGGCTGAACCAGACCACTGGGATATATGCAGTAGTACAGTACATACAATATACCCAACCTCTCTCATCTGGGGAACTTTGTTCAGTGTTTAAAGAGCAAACAGACGATGAATTACAGAATGTATGCATATTAATTAGTTCTAACTGATTCACAATGCTAAATGCAGATCCATCTAAACAGACTTCCACTTCTTAGAATTAAAGGCTTTATGGAAAAAAAAAAACAATGATTATCATGGTTCCTCTGATGATAGCTTAATACAAAAAAACTCAAAAGTAAAAAAAAAAATCAAAACAAGATAGCCTCTCTCAGCAATGATAAAATTAAACTGAGAATATTCTACTCATGTAACTGTAATAAATGTAAAGACTATTTAGGTTATTTCTTTTAAGAGTTTTACTCATTAAAGGAAGTGTAATATGTAAATAAAGTGTAATATGTCCTGGTGTGCTGGAAAAGTAATTTACAATATTCTCACTTTGAATATCTTTAAATAACTCATGGATTCATTTAGAACTTCATGAATCTATTGTTCAGAACAGCACCCATGGAATTAAATAACAGCAACTGGAACTAAATGTAAATGACATAAAAAGACAAACTATACATGTCTAAGTTTCTCGTTGGTGAAGCCTTTACAAAAAGATGCAAATATTCTAAAGGTGAAGGAAGGGAGAAGCTGCCCTAAAATACAGTACTCGTTTCAGTTTAATTCATAATTTTAACTGGATTCATGATGCCAAGTCAGGTTTTGCAAAAGTCACATGAAGTTTTCACATTAAAAGTTGTGGATAAAGAAAAAAGCAGCCAGGCTAAATCACAAATGTCCTGTCAATGTCCTTGCACAGGATGCTGATGACACTTTGGCCAAATGCTTCAATTTCAGTTTCTCACCTAAACATTTACATGACATCTGGTTAAAGAAATGCTTGTGGGTCACAACGCTGAAGCTAAAAACAAAAGCAAACGGCTGAACAAATGAACAGTGGAAATACTTTCAGATATATTCATATCAGGTATTTTCTACTAAAACGGGCAGCAAAAAAACATTTCCTAACCTGTGCTAATTTTGACTACTGTGGTTTGCAAACTAATGGGCAAAAGTAAGATCTCTCTTAGCCGAGTAGCAGCTCTGAAAGCTCATTTTCTCCCTTACCTTCTCTGCTTCCTGTCTCCCCTCAATCCCCCGTGCTGAAACAGCAGAACAAAAGCCCAGCAGTGCTGCAAGCCCAGGTGTTACCAGATCTCTGGTCCCTGATACCTGTGTCACTCTACCTGCCCTCTCACTTTACTCAGGCCCTTCATCAATAAAGTACACCTATCACATCGCGGCACCATGATGTCACTGGTCTCAGCCTGCCAATCGCAGGGCTGCAGGGTTCTGCCACTCACATGCAAAGCAGTTCAGTAAAGAGCAGGGCTGGAGGAACTCAGGTCCCTGTGGCAAAGGGATTTTGCGGCTCTTTGTAGAGATGTACAAACTTTCCATTTGAAAAGGGCATTGGCTATTTTCAGTTAACACAACTGTAGCATTTTACTGTGGTAAAGGGAAGGTTTTGCCAGCAAACTAGTCATTAAACCTGTGTCAGTTTGTCAATAAACTGCACATTTCTTATTTTAAATGCAACACCACTGAGAATCATTTTAACTACAGTAGAGCACATTCTACACAGAAATAAACAGAAAGAGATCAACCAGGGTGCACATTCACAACTTTCTCACAACTCCGTAAGTACATAAGTATATTATAAAGATTAAGACAACTATTCAATATTGATTATTTTAACCCTTATATCCTAACAGAAAACAAAACCAGAAAAAAAAATATTTTTAGACAGATTTGTAATGTAGACTGTGACTCATATCACTCACTTTCCTTCTTTATACACTGCTCTGCCCAGCCACAATCATTTGGTGTCATACCCAGTCCTACTGAACATTTTCCAGGACATTTTTGTCACAATATTTTCACGTATTTCATTGTGGTTATGATTAACACATTAACACTTTACACTGCTTCCACTGTATATTCTTATACCTACACCCTGCCTTCACTGTGCTGTAGAATACTAGACTGTGACAAAACAATGAAAACCTAATGCAAAGATTCCTTAGAATCACAGAATATCCCGGCTTTATACTTTTATAATATAAGACAATAAAGGCCACAATATGGTGAAACGCTGACACAACTGCAACAATACGATGATTAATTCAGTTTATGAAAGTGTTAAGAGAATGGGGAAGTCCTGACATGCTTCTCTGCGGCACACCCCATTACCCTCCGGGTCTTCTGACACCACCAGTGATGGACAGGAGGTTCGGTGCTGATTGGAGAAGTACGTCCCTCACTGAGGTCACACTGAGCCTGGAGGTGCCTGGGTGCTCGCAGGGGATACTCTTTTGCTGGGAGTTCAAAGATTCCAGGCTGACCATTACCTCTGTCCCTGGTTGTACTTAACCCTTTATGTGCTGTGACAAGAAGAGGCCCGGTCACCGTGTGCAAATGAATAGACCTGCATTCTAACCCACAACATCTGGGGTAAAGACCTCAACCTGCACATGGAGTGAGTATCTTTCCCTGTTGAGTCAGTTGGGAGCCCTTGACATATTCTACTAGCACCTAGTAAAATTCTCCAATAGTCTGTCGTCCATTTAAGGATGCGAAAAACCTACACCTCCTGGATATTTCCATTCCAGATTGGTGGAAGTGTAAACTGCACCGAATCCCACTTATTATGCAGCTGGGTTTGGCATAGAGCAGAACAACTTCTGAATGTTCTGCACAGGTCTTATTGCACATGGGGAGAGAAGGGTTGGAATGAACAAGTAACAGCCAACATTAAGCAGGAGTGCAGGAGAATATCCTAGTTAGTCCATTGTGTCACTAAAATGCTCACAGAGCTTTTTATAGCTTCTCCATGCATGTTGTGAAAAAGTCAGGCTTGTGGGCTTCATACAAATATCTTTTATTTACTTCTAAGCACATTATCTAACAAAGATGCACTCGTAACACAGTTTAATAATTAGGAGAAACGAATGACGCAAGCAAAGGCTGTTTATGGAAATGAAACCACTAACAAATTTAACTTATATTTCAATTACAAAAAGGGCAAGGCGACCTTTGGAAAAACGCATTTCTGGTGCTCATTTTATCTTCAGGCACACTCAGTTGAAGTAGCGGTTAATTATCTCGGTACTGATCATTTAGTACACGGTATACAGCTTAGCTTATATAGTTCAGGAGCAGCCTCATACCAGAACTGTTTTATTTCTAGAAAGCTCTCTCAGCGGAGCCTCTCAGGGAGACCATCACTCTGTTGTGGTGTGGACATATTGTCTTTCCCTGCATTGTTGCTGTGCCTTTGTTCCAGAGCTTTCTCCTCTCCTTCATCGGACTCAATTAACAGTATCTCTTTGTGTCCCAGAGAGCTGGAGGACTGTTTAATTGTTAATGAGTGGCAGCTCAGGGATTGTTACCTGGGCCTAGTCGCAGGTGGGAGGTTGGGCCCCGGAGGCTCCTCTTAATTAAAACCCTTCCCTCAGGACCTCACCACACACATACTGTACACACACTCACGCACGCACGCACGTGTGCGCACGCACCCAGCTCTCTTACACAACCGCACAGCCTGGAACTCCGCTCACATGGGCTGCCGAAGAAATGCTCTGCTCTTGCAAAGCAAATTTCCACGCCAGAACCTTTTTAAAAATGAGCAGCATTTTGCACCAATTGATTTTTCATAAATAACACAGAAATCAACGGGCTAAATGTAATTTTGTTTAAAAAAAGGTCTATTCCGAATAGACAATTTTCCATTTTAAGCACATAATTATCACTCTTTTCTACTGCAGATCAAGTGCCACAAATGTCTTTTATATTTTTTACAATAATAACCACTTTCCAGAAAGGGAAATAGAAAGAGGACTGATGTTTTTCGTCTGAATATTGTAATGCTTATCTAGAACCATTTCTTATAATGAAAAAAGCTCTTGTGTTACTCCTGTGAGCTTTCTACTAAAAAAATCTACTAAATCTACATGGAGTAGATAGAACATGCACATAGGGATTGACCTTTCACCTGGAAACCCACTCCTTTATTTGCCCAGTCAGAGGAGCATGGACCCTTATCTCCAGAACTGCTGTAATTCTGCGATTTTAAACACAAATACACAAAACTGTTAATTTTTAACAAAAAAAATGTTTATTCTGTGATGGGCAACTGAATATTGAAACGTATTTGTACTTCATCTTGGCTGGACTACTGCAATGTCCAGCTTGCTGCGTTATCAAAGAACACATTACACACACCCCAGCATGTTCGAAAGTAGCAGTTTTCTCATTGGGTCTCATTCTGACATATACAGTATACAGTATATAACCTCTGTTTTAAAATCCCTGTTCTGGCTTCCTGTACACCCGTACAGTGAAGAGTATTTCACTGCAGAGTACAATGCAAAATCAGGAGCTCCGAAACTCAATTGTATTTTCAAATCTCATGTTTAAACCCACATAGATTTTCGGTGTGTATTGTCTAGTATACCTTAAAGGATTTTGTGTGGTTCTTTTGTATTTTTTCTGACATTGTTTACAAGTTTTTTTCCTCCATTCTTTAAAGTTCAGTGTGTTGAGAATATAGGAAAGAAGTTTATAAAAGGTTTACTGCATGATCATTAACAAGGAGCAACAGTCATCATCTTTATATATTTTTTGTTGCATCATATTGCAGATGATCTCAATTTCCAAAGATTCAGAAATGCAAGGACATCTGATATCAGGTGAAGGCATGAAAACTATACTTGGTCGCCTATCTCCAATGTGTTGCACTTTTGCAATTTTAAGTTGCTTTAAAAAAATCTGGACTTGTGCCCTTCAGAGCCTCCTCACACAGCAATTAAAGAAATTAAAGGTCTGGCCATCACAGGCCTCAGTGCAAACCTCTCTGGCAATGAAGATCCTCATTAGCGAAAGGGCACAATTACCACATTGTTTGGCTCCTCATTTATTCACCTACAGACACTAGCAAAAGCAAAGGACATTGTTTGACTGTGCAGCCACCAAAGTGATTAGTTAACAAAACCCCAGCTGACTACCCAGCATTCCTGTTCCTAATCCCTTTGGGAATCCATGTCATTTCACCCCACCGATTTCCCTCAAGTTTATTCTAGTCCTCAAAATGTCTTTGCAGTCGTGGTCTGATGGATGCAGAGATTAACAGTGTGAGGGTTATTACCAGGTCAGCTGCACTGCAGAATAAACAGTAGTCAAAGGCTTGTTTCCCTCTATTTGTTCAAGAGATGTGCCAGGCAACACAGCTAAACTAGAACTGAGCAGCGTGTAAATGTAATAAGTGCAACTTGTTGAAACACACAATTAATTTAAAAGCAAATAATTTTTAAGCAAAACAATTACTATTTTTTTTAAATGTGTTTGCTGCTAGAAATTCTGCTTCACTGCCAACACCTTCACTATGCAAATATGCTTACATAAGAGCAGGGTTCACTTTGTGTGCCTGGTGCATTTCTACACTAGGTGCTACAGTGACTTTACAGACTGTAAAAAAGGTGCTATATTTCAGATGAGACAGAAAACCAAGGTCCTGACTCCCTGTGGTCATTAAAAATCCCATAGTGTTTTTCGAAAAGAGTAGTGGTGTTACCCTGGTGTCCTGGCCAAATTTCCACTTGGCCTTTACATCTCATGGACTCATAATAATCTCCATCTATGAATCTTCATCATTCTGTTCTCCTCCCCAATGAGAGCTGATATGTGGGGAGCATACTGGCGCACTACGGCCGCCGTCACAGCATCCAGGTGGGGCTGCACATCGGTGATGGTGGAGGGGATCCCCATTACCTGTAAAGCTCTTTGAGTGGAGTGTCCAGAAAAGAGCTATATAAGTGTAAGGTATTACATAGGTATTCATTTTCCCCAAGGTGGTTTCCACTAAGCACAATATGACCTTTGAGTCCAAACAGAAATACCGCTGTAAAATCTCAGGTGAAGGAAAACAATGATGGACTAATTATGACTTCCAGCTAATCGATCTGTCACATTGCAAACAAATGGTACAGTACGTCATTGGTTTCTGGAGGTACGGTACGACACACTGAGATGTTGATTAAGGCAAGTGTGGAGAGCTGAAGGGTACTTCAGCACTGCAAGTGTGTGGGGGTGCAGTGCTGCAAGTGTGGGCGCAGGGCTCAAGGCGTGTGGGGGTGCAAAGCTAAGGATGTGTGGGGGCACAGGGCTGCATGAAAATGGGGGTGCAGGGCTGAGCATGTGAGGGGCTGCAGAGCTGAAAGTGTGTTGGGGTGCAGGGCCGAGGGCGCGGGGGGGCGCAGGGTGCAAGGTGATCTCACCTCTTTCTCCACATGCCGCAGGTTGCTCTTCACTTTCAGGTAGATCTCGGCAGAGGACGAGTCGTCAGGGGGGCTGGGCGCAGGGTAGCTGGGTGGGGGAGGGGGCACGCTGGAGGAGTCAGGGGGAGGGGGAGGGGGAGGGAAATCCGGAGGAGGAGGAGGGGGGGCTGCGATCAACACCTCTTTCTTCTGGGTCCCGGCTCCCGTATCTGGATTCAGCATGTCCATGTAGGTCTGCATGTCTGAGATGGCCGTTCCCGAAGGCCCTAAAATACATTCATGGAGCAATTCACACGTCTCCCAAGACAAGCGATCGCACACAGCTCATTTTGGACGATCCGTGCTGAGCCACCTCAAGATGCACAAGAATGTTTTTTTCATGCATGATTGTTTTGTGTCTAATGAGTCTTGTGCTACTGGTTATTTTATATTATTTTTGTAATATCAACAAAAAAAAACTCAATTCAGCTTGAACCCTAAAATCTCTGATCGTCTGACAAAATTTCAAAATACACATTTGAAAATGTTTGGAATTTTTAATAAAAACAAACTTTAGAACACCCTGTAAATGAAGCATCATGATGGTGGAAATAACCTTGATTTATAAGTCCTGTCCTCGTTATGGGGGTGGCATGGCATAGTGGGTAAGTCATGACTAGAAGGTTGTAGGTTTGAGTCCATGTGGTCAAGGTGGGGCTGCACATTGGTGGTGGTGGAGGGGAGTCCCCATTACCTGTAAAGCGCTTTGAGTGGAGTGTCCAGTAAAGCGCTATATAAGTGTAAGCAATTATTAATTATTATTATATTATTAATGCTGCAGACATTCTTGAGGATCTTGACTCCAGCTGCTCCTGTCCATCCAGCTGTGTAAGTGGGGAACATTGCTGTGTGAAACAGTTTACCATCAAAGGGGAAGAATTGTGCTCTCTACACCAATTAACTCAATGGAAACTGTGATCATCTCTGATCTGGTGAGGCTCAGATATGTAAATGATCTATTATCTACCCTTCAGCCATGCTGCAACAAAGTCTTTGCTATCAAGAAACCAGAGACAAATCCATTAAAACTGCAAGCAATGACAAACATTTACACTTTAGAAACACTTACATTATGATGTTCAAATCAAAAATGTTGTTAGAGACTAAAGTGAATAGTAAGTGAACATTGATCAGTGACAAACCTGAATTTTCAGGAAAACCTGAGAAGCCAAGGGCACAGCACATGCAGGTTTAAATCTCACCACTAGATGGCAATGCCTGTCTTTTCACAGAGCAAGGAAGCAACAACAACACATTAAACACAACGAGCCATATAGAATTGTTTCCTCTCCAACGGACGTGGGGGGTTTCTCCTATTGTTTTGTGACAATGGGCAACACATGGCGTCGCATCCAAAAAACGCCTCCGGCCCCAGTGTCATAGTCTCGACGTTAGCAACCCAGAAAAACAGATACAGACTGGCGCTCTAGGCTTTGACGTTAAAACCCCCTGCAGAAAGTCAAGGAAGTCATCAAAAAGCCCTCTTCAACATTTGATACCAGGGTTCAGATCACCGTTTAAAATGTTAAAATGTGTAGCTCTCTTTTTCTGCATTGGACAGTGTATTTTAGGTTATTTGTCTGAGATGGAAAAATGACCTCGTTGTATCTCAAACACGCCCATAGGATGCGAGAGGCACAATCTCCGCCCAGCTCTGTGGACTCCGCGCACACGGGAGCCGGACGCTGACCTGCAGTGACCACGCTCCTCTTCTCCCCCGTGCTGGACTGACTGGAGGTACAGGAGTCGTAGTTGGACAGGGTGCTGGAAGGCGAGCCCATGCCAGACCGGGCTGGCTGGACGTGGGAGGACCTGGTGGTGTTGGGGGAAGAATGGCCGGAGTCGGGCTGCTTGTACTCTAGGTCAGCCGAGGGGTCCCGGGACAGGACACGGTGCTCCACACTCTGTCGGGGGTAACAAGGACAGCCCATGAGTCACACAGGTCAGAAGTATGAAATGGCCAATTCACTGGTCACGTACTCACCAATGCCATTACCAGGATAAATGTGTTGTAGTCAAGTAGAAGACTGTACCCCCTTCTTAGCTTTTACAGCACAAATGTGTTTAAAGCCTGACAATATTATAACCTCTCAGGAATTTGAGATTGGAGCTGTTGTTATAATACAGCCCTCTAGGAACCTCCCAAGTCTTGATGGGAGGCCAGCATTTTAAAGAAGCAGAATTCACTGCTGTGTGTGGTAAATTGAGGTGGCTGGGAGATCAAATCTCAGTGGGGGACAAGCTACACAAACATATATATGAACTGGGCTTTAAAGTCTATTCTCCATCTATGCTTTTTTATTTTGGCATCACCACTTATTTGTCATCATTATATACCTTGTCTGTACACATCCTGGTTGTTTTAAGGTTAATTATCCAGCAATAACTTGGGAGAGAATGAGACACACCCACCTGCTCAGCCACCTGTCATTTTACATGTGGCGAGCTCCACTGTGCACTAACAGGAGAGTTAATGACCATTGGACTGGAGCTGTGACATCTCCCGCTGACATCACAGCCAGCCTGCAGGTGCCTGGCAGGTCACTGCTGCTCACCAGAGAATCCCCCAGTGGTGCACAGCCAATCATGTCTCGGCACTTAGGAATCCCAGTCCGAGTTAATGACATCCACCAGATTTGAACTTCCTGTGTGAAGTCTGGGCCTAAGCAAAGTGTTTTTTAACTGTGCCATGTGATTTTCTAAGATCAGTTGTCTTGGTGATCTTCACATGAAGTTTTGGATATAGGGATCAGGTGCCTGAGTGCTATCTGTGGCAGGAAGAACAGTTTTGATCTGCCCTTAAAACATATCAAAGAGCAGCTCTCTGTAAAACTAGTACCCATGATGCAAGACGTATCAATTTATAATGTAATCGCAAAGACCTCCATAAATATCACTTTTGGTGTCAGAAACAGCATACCTGAGTATGGTTAAGTTTGTCAAGCCATCACTTCAGAACAAGGGTTAATTGAACATGTGCTTTGGTACAGATTATCTTCTGGTCCAGAGTAATTACACTGAAATTAAACCTGTTCTTCTTTATTAAACCCTATTTTGAGAATGTTCTTTGTACAACCTATTCTACATTCTATGACCTAGTCCCAGACACAGAGGCTCTGATCTAAATATATGACTCTGACCTCTGTACTCTGCATTATAACGCGATTGCACCTGTGAATCAGGTTTCACTACATTTTATACACAAGATGCCAAAGCACACAGAACACTAAAAGCACAGTACATTGTGTGGCCTTTTCATTTACATTGAAAATAGCATTGTAATCTGTTATTTTATTACAGTTCTCAGTGATATATTGTGCTATTCATTGACCGTATTAGAAGATGTAACTGTTAAATCAAAAGATGAAACCTTTTAGTCAACCTGACTGTATGTCACACTTCCTGATGTAACCTCATCTACTCTTTTTCCCCACCTGGTCTTTATGAGCACTTGATAATCAAACACAAACTGACATCTGTTTCACTTTGCCACAAGCTGTATTTAAGGCCACCAGCCTTTCTGACTTTTCAGTGTCGGATGTAAGACTGTTCTGCTAATTCCTTGTCCACTGAAGTAAGAAGACAGAACTACATAGTCTGCGCATAAACAGACTCCATGCTGTTAAACCATGTCTGAGCTTTAGCCTCGATTCGAAGTACTGCAGTGCAGTTAAGAGAGTAAATTAAGCATTTTCCCCCTTGATGTTTATCAGATGGTAGTAGCTCTCGTTTTAATTATCCCAGCTGAGCGGTGCTAGAAACTCCTTCCTCCGTCAGCAGTAACACAGTTCAGGTCTGTAGTAAACACTCCTCAGCCTCACAGCTTCAACGCCACAATAAACTAAGAAGGAAAGCACAGATAGCTCAATAAAACCGCTCCTTACGTTACTGACTCCCATCTTGATCCCGATCTCTGCCAACAGCTCCAGATCAGACCAGAGAGGGCTGGATTTTACAACTCTTCCCCATCTCCCCTCTAGTTCTGCCGCACATCCTCTAAGCTCCAGAAAAAAATAACACTCTTCTCCACTGATCTCCCGGGTACGGAACAAATGTTCCCAACCTCCCCAGAGTTAGAGAGATAAAAATACAGGTCAGAGGAAAATAAGCCTGGGCCTGGAACTGCAGTACTGTTCTGCTCAGCCACCTCTGCCACCTTCTTATATTTAGACTTCTTATAATTAGAAAGACCTGTTGGCTTGATTGCAGGCAGGGCAGGGGGGCTGAAAGAAATGTGCTCTGAAGAAAATTGAGAATTTATGAGCACAATGCACAGAAGCACATGATCAGGAACACGGACTTGTACTATTTCAGAAACGGAGCATAACACCTCCCTTCTACAGAGGAGGTGCAATCAGCTCGTTCCTGCCCTTGTGAAAAATACAACATATCCAGAAGCATGCAAACATATATACTGTACTATATCACATATACTATTATTATCATTTATTCTAAATATAACCTGTTCAACAGATAAAAAACATCTATAAAGCTACTATATGATGTTGAACAAAGTTAAAGCACATCAAAAGAAAACAAAACGACCTATATAAATGGTCATTCTGAATAAAAAGAGGTTAGAGGGTATTTTATTGCCCGGTCATTTTGAAAGCTTTGTGGCAACAAAGAATTTGCATTAGAGATTTAGAGGATAACGTCACTTCACGCTGACTGACCTAAACCAGTATGTCCTACTGTATTATTCTGGCTTGACCAGGCTTCATGATCACGTTACCCGTGTCCTGATTGATGGAACACGACTCCCGCTTGAACCCAGGAAGCTGACAGGTACATCTGGATGCCACAAGGAAGGATAGGAATGGCCAGGTGCTCAGACTGTGGATCTTGGCAGGCTGTAGGCCTCACTCACCATGTTTTCCACTGTACGCAGGTACTTGGCACACTGGCTGTGTCCATTGTAGTCAGCAAGGTCTGCTGCCGAGTAGCCATCGTGGTCTCCGATACCCAGGTCCACTCCATTGACCACCAGAATCTGGCAACACTGCCGTGGAAAGGCACAGACAACACCGTCACAGACAGTATAACTCTATAGTGATAACAATGTTAATGCCAGATTGATATTTCCATTGGTTCATTGGAATCATACCACAGATATACGAGTCCTGTTGTGTTTTTACAGCACTCATTCACTAAACCAACACAGCTCAGAACCCTATAAAGTGAAACAAATCGAGAAAACACCTTTTACAGGATGTAAAAATTGGAAATAAAACACAAATCCATCTTTCAAAGGCGCCAGGAGAAGGGCACAAGTGACAGCCAGAATCTGAATTCCACAGGTCTCACCCTGCTATCATCCAGCAGTGGGCTGTGCAGGACATCAACATGCTCGGAGAATTAGATCTTGAACACATTCTCCAAATAATCCTATTACTGTAATACGAAACCAAACCACAGAACCTGCCAGCTCAAGGCCACAGTATACAGGTTCATGCACCTCACAAGAAAGTACTAGGTGCTTTCAACTCATATATTTCCATTTCTTCTTCTAAACTGACTCCTCCCTGCCAGGTTTCGCCGGAGGCTGTCTGCTTTCCAGTATAAAAACAAAGAGAAAAATAAAAACGATCAAGGGTCTAAGTGTTTTTTTTTCCTGCAACACAAGAAGGGCTGAGTGCCCTCGTCTCATTTGCAGCCTATTAAACTTGTTTAGTTACCAGCAGCTAATTGATCTTAGGAGGGCATGCAGTTCTTTCTTGAACGAAGACAGGTATGGGCTTCCACAACACGGCTGGGTAGCTCGTTGCACACTCCCACCACCCTCTGTGTAAAGACGTGCCTCTGGTTATCAGCCGGTAATGCAATCCCCCCTATATTTTACCGGTGTCCTTTAGTTTATTGTTGACGGCTGAATGGCATACTCTATCCAACCAAAGACAAGAAAGGAGAGCTACTACAGCCAGAAAAGCACAGCATTTAAAATAAGAGTTGGATTCCAGGTAGAAACCAACAAAAAAAAGATGCCGAATGAATGGTGCACGGAGTCAACGCGCTGAAGCTCACCTCCAGCTCCCCATTCTCCGCTGCGTCGTGCAGGGGGGTCCCGCCCCAGTTGTCGCAGGTGATCTCCCCTCCGTGGAGCAGCAGCCAGCTCAGGACCTTGGTGTGACCGCGGCTGGCAGCAAAGTGCATGGCAGTGGCCCCATCGCTGTCCCGGTCCATCAGGCTGATGTCTGTGAAGCTCATCTGGACGCGGGGGAACGGAACGGCAAAGAAAAAGAAAAAAAAATAATCACCGCACGCAAGGGGCAGCAACTTCCTATGATTCATTTTCCAACGGCTTCTACTGGCGAGCAGCGGGCACAAGGCCGGGTACCACCCGGACGGGACGTCAGTCCACCACAGGACACACACACACACACTCACGCCAGGGCCAAATTTCCCAGAAACCAATTAACCTGCCAGGATGGTTTTGGATCGAGGGAAGAAACAACAGCACCTGGAGGAGACCCCCGCAAACATGGGGAGAACATATCCGATCCATGCAGATCGCACCCCAGGTCTGTAGCTGAACCCAGGGTCTGAGCACTGCTAACCACTGCGCCAGTGCTCGCCTGTCTCTTTCCCTTCTTTTCAAAATGCTTTCTAATCCAATCAACTAAAATAAATACAAGGGCTTGAATTCAGGACTTTTCCCTAAAGTGTTATAGGAATGGTGTTGCTCACAGAGACCCAAGAAAGGGCAAAACCATAGAAAGATATGCAGGAGAGGTAATGGTGTCTGTGCATTAGAGATTACATATCACATTGACCTAATTAGTCTCACTCGGACAACATCTGTGCAGGATACGTATGTTTACAATGTAGGAATACAAGATCCCAACAGCTGCCAAATGACCTATGGATTTATATTTGTCTGTATGTACAATAGCTCGGAGTAGGTTCTGATATGCTGAGTCTCTTCACTGCCATTTCAACTCACATTTCAGTTAGTACAAAGTCAGATCAAGGCACTGAGAAACATGGCTTGGAGATCATGTGGCTAGCATATGTTTAACTGTTCATGCATGAACACCTATTGAGCTTTTTTCACCGCAATAAGAAATACATTATTTGTTGCTTTATGCACAGTGTAAACATGGGAGTGTTGATCAACCCCTGCCCTCAAAACTCTTGCTCTGTTATCTTCCTATGCCGTTAGCTCGATGTGAAGCTCTCGAAAACGATTCTGTGTGAAAGTGATGAGAGGATGGGGATTGATACAGGTGATTGCGATCGCAGTGAGATGGGCAAGTGTGAGGGTGCCAGTCCAATAAATAGAACGGTGTCTTACCAGCCAGGCTATGACAGTACTGTGTCCCATCTGGGCAGCGGCATGCAGAGCTGTCATCCCATCATTGGCCCTAATGCGAGGGTCTGCACCGCAGTCCTTCACCAGGTATTGGACAACATCCAGGTGACCCTCCTGACAAGCCAGGTAAAGGGGCGTGGCACCATTCTTCGTTTGGGCATTGACTACACTGAAAGAACCAAAAAGGAGGTAGAAGTTTAAAATGAGGAGACATGATAATTTGATGAAACTGCACTTTGGTGTGCAAATATGATTTCAAAAAGCCATCTTTGTTAAATGACAGCATATGGTCAACAGCTACTTTGGCTTTTTGTGTGGGGGACACACCCAATGCCAATATGTTTTTAATGATTTTTTTTTCGATTTTAAAATGGGCGTGAAAATTGATGATCCGCCATACAAATTATTTGTTAAAGACCCACATAAATCATCACTATTAGATCAGGGGACTTTGCTGCCTGGCATCAATGGGCTTGGAAAGCTGCCTCTCTCTCTCCCAGGCTGCCCAGTGATGACACCCTCCCTCCCAGATGCTGCAGTCACAGTGGGAGGTCAGGGAGTAATCTTATAAGGCTCAGCTTTATTTGGACACTGACTGTCAAGTTAGCAATGTCTCAGATAAGGAGATTCAGATTCCAGGCTCCAGAGGTGGACCCCCTGCTGGTGGCTTAGGAGTACCAGTGACACGCGAGAGAGGAAAAAGGAAATAACCAATCACTGGACTATTTTTATTAACCTAGAAAAGATCCTCACTTTCACACCAGGCTAATGAGGTCAAGCCTTTGCATTTCAGCTTGATCCTGTTAATGCCTTCAACAATGCATGTTTGGGTATTAAAGAAATCCTTAGTACAAATGTTTAAAGTATGAACATTGCACTTAGATGACATTAAACAGAATCCCTTTTATGAACAAAATTTTAAAAATATGTATTTAAAATAATTATCACTTATGCTCACAGGATAGGCTCCAGCACCCCCCTGCGACCTAGCATAGGATATATGGTTGGATGAATTATCACTTAAGAAAAAGAGCCCTGAACATAAAAGTCTTCTCATGGTGAACAGAAACCTGTCAGGTACTGGACATGCTTTTCCCACATAATGATTTGCATCTATGTGAGTGTAGTGGGGTTTATCAGTGTTCATTATTAAGTTTGTAAAGGTTTCAGTTCTGAAACTCACACCTCTTCTGTATAGCAGAGTAATAGAGTGTATACAGTAAGTCTGAGTGTTTTGCGTCTTGTCTGTAGACGCAAATACGTTTGCAAATTCCTTGTCTTTTATGTCACGTCACATTTATTTCGGAACCACCAAACAAAACCTTGACAGAAAACTAAAGAAACTGCAAGATGTACTAGTGATCTGTGTGGGTCTGTTTTATTATTTCACCTTTACAATTTTCTTGTTTCTAGTTCCAGGAACTAGTGCTGAGCTACTATTGCTATAAGTAGAGTGGTGGTGGAGTGGTGGCTCTGTGGCTCAGGATCTGCGCCTGTGGCTGGAAGGTTGCCGGTTCGTATCCTGTGGCTGGCAGAGGAATCCTATTCTGTTGGGCCCCTGAGCAACGCCCTTAACCCCAGCTGCTCCAGGGGTGCTGGAGTTTATAGGGTTCACAGTGATGGGGCTCTGGGTTGAATTCCTGACCCAGGGTACTGGCTGCGTGTTTTGTATGTTCTCCATGTGGGTTTCCTCTCGGTGCTCTGGTTTCCTCCCACAGTCCAGAGACACGCTACTTGGGAAACTGGCCCTGGTGTGCGTGTCTGTGTGTTTGCCCTGTAATGGACTGGCATCCTGTCCAGGGTGTACCCTGTGTGCCCATGCCTGCCTGGATACTCTGATCCCCCATGACTGTGAATTAGAAGAAATGGTTAGAAAATGGATGAAATGGTTAGAAAATGGATGAATGATCTCTTTACAGAGTTGAATATACCAAAGTAAACTGATTACAACACTAGGGGACAGTGTACTCCCAGAGTTATTAAATGCAATTACTTAAATACATTTTCTTTCACGAGACAATCCTTTCCTGGGAGAACTGAGGACAGGCATTCTAAAAGATGTAAAAATACTAAGATGATTGATGAGTAGGAACTTCTTGAAGGTGAAAGCAAGCTCAAGAGACCTGCTGAAAGCTTATGTATCCCAGAGCACAACAGCACTGCCTTGCCACACTATTGGAATGGCACACATGCCACTTCCTGTAGATCTTTATGCAGTCTTGTCTGATGATTCGCCGTGTTCAAAACAGGCTGCTCTTTTTTGGTGAATGTAGGACTCTGGAAAACCAGGTTAAAGCAAAAGGGAGTCACACAATTCTTGCAGACAACATCCGTTTCGTCCCTGCCTACAGGCGTGCTCATGAAAGCCATTGCTTCTAACAGCAGGACGGACGGAAAGGAAACGTTCCTAATAAAAACAGCCAGGTGTTTAATATTTCAGCCAGGAAGGGCACTTAATCCGCAGCTCTGTCATCAGGAAGTGGGCAGACGTCTGAATGATTCATGAGGGTAACTGAGCCAGGCAGGTACTAGGCTGCACACACTGAGGACAGAGGCCCAGGATTCAGGCACAGACACAGACACTAGGGCCAAGGCACTCCAGGAAACAAGCTGGCATCTACTTTTATTTGTTTCCAGGAGCAGAACCACCAAGAGGATGAAACACAGACCTGTAGCACTGCTGCCACTCCTGGTGTGAGAAGATGTCTTTTGCAGCAAGCAAAAGCAAAATGCCTTTTAAGAACCTCAAAGATGCACATTCCTTCATTATTCCTTACTGCGCAATCATTGATTAAATTGCTGCTGGCATTGGGTTCCACACTTCCCAAGAGACTAAATGGAGCATCTTATGAAGTGATATTTTCAGCAACAGTTCTGTGCAAGAAACGGTGAACTTTCTATCTTTCTTACGGGGGTGTAATTAAAAGGAAGCACATTTTATCTTATCTTAACTATCAGGAATGTTTTTTTAGATGCATATCTTATTAAATTTGAGTCAGATAAAAGAATTAGGCCTCATTGTCTTTTTCCTGTTTGAATAATTAAGTAACTAGGCTAAATAAAAAGATTAACCTACACGGCTATTTAGATGACTTTAGTACAAATGGATGCAGAATCATCTGTGAGCTCCAGTAACCTTTAACTACTGGGGACAGTAAAAATATAGCGTAACAAACAAACTTCACAGTAATTTCAAATGCAGAAGGTCATCAGATGGAAATTGACTGCAGGGAAATAGACTACTGTGGATGACCATTTCAATATTTGGAGGGGGTTCAAACAGCTTAATATTGGCTTTTGTCTCACTGTTCAGGCAAAGACAAATGAATAGGCTTCCCAACACTTTGGAAAAGCTGCTTTTGAAATTAACCAAAATGGTTAACATTGAACAGAGTCCACCAAAGCAAGGACAACTGTCAGCCTTGTTGAGGGACACTACTGTATGATGTCAATTTCAGTCAAACCTTGGACAACAGTAAAAAGGTGAATTACAGGTCAGATTCAGCTGTTCTCCAATTCGTACTGGTTAGATGCACTGCAGCACATGATCTCAATCATATTGTCTTTGCAAGACATCCAATAAACACCTAAAAGCATGTTTTTACATGACAAAAATCGTATTTATTTAAATATACTAGATGGTCTGAGAACTAAAATGAAGGAAACACATTATCTAACATATGCTAATGAAAACATTTATAAAATATTTTTATTTTAGGGCTTTTATTATTAGAAAGCTACAAATCAGATAGCAAAGCTAATTCAGATACAGTCTAGCTTCTGATTCATGAGTACATGTAAACATAAAAAAGTATTTTTAGAACTGATTTTTGCTTACAATCAGCTGACAGTGCTCTGTGCTTTCGGGTGCATGTAGTGTCTCAGTTTGTAATGTTTTTTTTTTTCTCTGAGCTGGTTTATTTTTAGATCTACAATTTTGGGTACCTGTAGGATTTTTGGAAATACCCGTTTTGGGGAGAAACCAGATTCACTCAGTATGAAGCAGTGTTAATGTAATAGTGCTGGCTGAGAGCTCCGTTTTGATTTCTAAAAATGCAAGCCTGCAGCTCCCATCAGGACTCCTCTTCTGCTGCACCTGAGTTCACTTACTGAATCGCAGGATGCCTCTGGCGGCCTGCTTTTGCTGAGCTACAGCTGAGCACCACCAGTTAAACAAGCCACAAGGTTCAGTAAAAAGGTGTAGGGGGTGGGGGGGAATATGTTAGCCTCCTTGCTAACAGCCCTTATGGAAAATTTTCATCTGGACCCTATCATGCTTATTGTACCCACCAGTGTTAGAGGAGAGGTCTGCAACAAGTTCAGATGTTTATGGCTGTCCAAGCCTGAACTTCCCCTTACCCTGCTGTGTAATTATATCCCCTGGTAAAGCTTTTAAGCTGCACTAATTGATTGCATAACTCCTTCCTTCATAGAACAGAAGACATAAAATTCACTTTTATCTCACAGACAGCCCTAATGAAAATCAATGAATTTGCATTCTATGGTTGTTATCTGAAGAACCACAATCTGACCTCTTTAAGGAAATAATGTGTGCATCTGCACAATCTTTTCAGTCACCTTTACATAAATCTCACACTAATTGCGGAGCGGTAAATCTTTTTTTCTTCTTCAGAAAAGACATTCACCCCATGTACAACCTGATAACTCTGTATTCAGAATGCTCCAGTGATATAAAGCATCTTAATGGAGGAGAAAAGAGTAAATCATGTCATCAGCATTCCTTGTAGTGTCGCATTAATGGCCACTTAGAATTCACTGGGAAAAAGTCTAATCTTGCTGGGAACCTTATTGTGAACAGGCAGTAAATTTGCCACCTTACAAACAGTACAATCACATAATCCCATTTATCTTTCCAAGAAAACAAGATTATATAATAAAAGAAAATTCTTGTTAAAAATGGAAAACATATTTGCAGAACATACCATAAAACACTACTCTAAATTGGTAATGGTCACTTATCTCGCACAAGTGTTTGATTAATCTTTTATCTATCTGACAAACTCCATAATATTATTTACCTAAAGCCACGATAATTCTAGCAAATGCATAAAGGTCCCTTTGTAGCTTCTTTAAAATTCGCACTCTGTTTTTACAAGATGGAGATGAGATACAATAAATGCCCTGCAGGACCTGGACCTGCAGAAGTTGCACAGATTTTCTAAAAACAGATGCATTAAAACTGCCCCTTTGTCATAAGATACATATCAAGTGATTACCTGACTAAAATCATGAAACTGCCAACAACTGTTTCATCAGAAATAAAAAAAACTATTCACTGGTCATTTGATCATTTGGAGAGCTCATAAAGTACTCATAAACACACTTTCCTGTAACCAGTGTAGCTACAGGTTTTATTAAGTGCTATGAACCTTTTAACTTTTTATTCTATATACTTCTAAGCACGATTACATTGAGGAAAAAAGACTATACTGGCATACAGGGAATAACAGATGCCTGACTCACAGGGATAATTATTTTCTGCTACAATGATTACTTGCTGAGGTCTGCAGTAAAAGCTTGAGTAAAGAACAGGATTTTTGCATGCTCTTGCCTAGAGAAAACTAGCAACTACTAAATACAAAGCACAAACAGGAGTCTGAAAAGCAAACTGATGCACTTAGAGTGAAGATGAAACAAACTCTGTAGAAGAAACCTCTTAAGGCTGCCTTAATCACACAGTCAAAATTAAGAAGACAGGTGGTGAAAAACTTAGAAAGTGTTGTGCCATGAGGATACAAGTTAGTGTCACATAAATGTACCTGTTCTTTTAAAGTTATACTTTAGTGCCTTTTTTCTCCTCTTTAAATGTTTTAGTGCTTGTCACCTATTAAGCTATATATTTGTGTGGTGTACTGGGCTTCTCAAGAGGTCTGTTATCTTGGCTGTACCAGCATCTCCTAAGACAATACAGGGGAGTACTAGAGAGCTGCCCTTTATTCACCAGTCTTTGTTTTCCCTTATTAGTTTATGACTGGTTAGCTACATTTTGTAACCATGGCACCCGGGATAAACAATCCTGGTGGCTGAAAGGACCCTACAGTGCTGCCCCATCCCCTTGCCTGATTAAACTTTCAGCAGTTCTGCACCTCTGTGGAAACCACAGGGCTTTGCTGGCTTTGGAGCACTGCAAGTAAACTACAGGGTGCTATGGAACAAGTAATAGGTTTATTCCATGCTGAAAAAAAGTAGAAAGAGAACACAACGTTTCGGCCATGGAGCCTTCTTCAGGTGTGTGACACACCTTGACACACCTGAAGAAGGCTCCACGGCCGAAACGTTGTTTTCTTTCTTCTTTTTTTCCAGCACGGAATAAACCTATTACTTGTTCCTTTGCAGCCTACGCATGCTGACGCAGCTCCCCACCTGAACTACAGGGTGCTACTGTATACTGTATATCCTCTTCATTTCTGTAGGACATGCTCTGAAAAACACCTACTTTAAAAATTGGACAATTTAAAAAAATAATAGAGTCTAATTACATAGCAAGTTACTGACTAACATTTTTATCACACACCCAACTATCATCACCATATGATATACATTTAGACCTGTTGATAGCTCAGTTAAATGTTACTCTAGAAAAGCTCAATATTAGACTGGTTATAGAATATATAAAGGACTGAGTTTTCATTAATTTGGAGCTTGCCAGGCATGATGAGTAAAACACTGTACATTCGCAGTTCTATGGAAGATTCAGTTTAATGTGTAGTATCACTCACTCATGCGATCACTGGCGAGGATTTTAGGACTGATCAATTTGCTCGGCTTGAACAGTTTGCACAGGAAGTGACCTACATTCTCATTTACAAGGTTCTCAATTAATTGTAACCCAATCACATCTCATTCTCCTACCACTAGTGCTCTCAGTTGAGATCTGTTGAGGGTGACTGTGTGGGATTGGACTGAGCTTATGCCAGTTACAGCAGTTTTTATTCAGATCTGGATTTTTAAATAGTCTCCTAACCAGGGAAAATGATAGAAGTCTTTCTCATTTCTTAGCCAACCACATTCCCCCTGCCTCTGGAAGAGCCTATTAATTCAGTTTGTGGTTAATAACATTTTGGTCAGCCAGTGCGTGTCTAAATCCCAGTATACAGTGAGTACATAAATGAAAATAAAATAAAATTCAGTCTTCCAAGTAGCAAATCCATGCAAAGGAATCATTCCTCATCCAGCCAAAGCAAAACACGGCCTAGTGATAGCCCTTGCCAACTGACAGGCTACAGTGTTGCTTGGCCTTGCAGGCTTGTGCTTCAGACAGTCTACTGAAAGAAGATGATAATTCCTTACACGTATATAGCATGTTTCTGGATACTCCACTCAAAGCACTTTACAGGTAATGGGGTCTCCCATCCAACACCAATGTGCAGCATCCACCTGGATGATGTGACGGCAGCCATAGTGCAACAGAACGCTCACCACACATCAGCTCTCAGTGGGGAGGAGAGCAGAGTGATGAAGCCAGTTCATAGAGGGGGATTATTAGGATTTTTAATGACTATGGAGAGTCAGAAGACATATCATCTGAAAGACGGTGCCGTCTTTGCAGTAGAGTGTCCCCATCACTTTACTGGGGCATTAGGACCCACACAGACTACAGGGTGAGCGCCCCCTACTGGTCCCACCAACACCACTTCCAGCAGCAACCTTAGCTTTCCCAGGAGATCTCACAACCGCCTCTCAACTGCTCAACTTCAGTGAGATGCCAGTTGCGACTTGCAGGGTGATATAGCCGCTGGCATAAGATGAACTAGTGGCATGACATGGGCTGACTCCTGGCCTCTGTTTTAGCAGCCAAGAAGTCAATCACTCTTCACAGAATCAGCACTATATATATATAAATTATATTTTAGAAAATGCTAATTGCGTTCATACTTTTATTATGTGCTTAAACTGATGTGCAATGGGCAGGATTGCAGGAAGCACTTAAGCACACAAGATCACTTTGTTGGAATTTGTCTTTTTGCATACCCCGACATGCTCTCCACGAGACACACATCCTTGGCCACAGAGCTACCACACCGCCCCCTTTCCTTCCATAAGATAGAAAAAAAGACAACGACTAAGATGACTTCAGACTCCGGCCAACATCCCACAGATGACGTTCGCGACCTATGGTAGCTAAAGAGCACTTTATAAAACCAATCTTGATTATGTTCAGTGAACCTTTTTATACCTACTGTTCCTGATAGTTTGTCTTGCCTCGCATTGGTGATTAGACTTTTTCAATCATTGTATGACCACATGAGACTATGGAAAAAACCAAGCACCTCTCACCCATCCCATAAATCTTTCTATCACCAGACACACTGGTTCATTTACATTATCATGATAAATGAACAAAGGCTGCTGTGTTATCGCCATACAACACAATCCCCCTGGACAGGGGGCAATTTGCAGCAGAAGTCCCATGAGGCAATAATTCTGTCAACTAGCAGACACAGGCTCTGCACTAACAATCCGGACACAGGCAGGAGGCAGAGAGGATTTCTCATATATGGCAACAGGTTAGTACAAATCTCCCCTATAGAGATTGCAGATGTAAATTTGAGTCTTCAATGGAGTTATGTTTGATGAAAAACAAGAGAAATTGTCTATGCCAGAAAAAATATTTTGTCAGACATTTTTCAACATTTTAAAAGCACGGGTTTTGAGAATAAAACCATTCATTATTTGTCTGGTTTTATCATATTTAACAGTATGTTAGAACTGCACGGGTGATATGAATTGTTACATGAAAAAAAAACATTTTGAAACCTGAAATAAAGTACTAAACAAAAGGGCTTGTGAGAGATGGGGGCTATTTTGTTTATTCTGCCATTGCTTGTGAAAGCAAAATAATTTTAACACAACTTTCCTTTACTCTTATTCTATACAGTCACTGTGAGATGGAATACAATGTGAATTGCCACATCTAACAAGAATAATTCATAGATCAGTCCTCAAGTACTTGCCAATAAGGATCTGTCTGTGGGCAGTTTTATTCGCAATGCTAGAAGGGGCTTTTTATGCATACCTGTGCTGAGGCTATCACTAACACAGGCTATCAAAAGCCAATAAGGAGAAAGGTGTTACCAGGCAGTGACAATAGGTATACAGAGGGCAGGTTTATCTGGCAAGCAATATAAAACAAAAAACTTGTAATGGGTAGAAAGCACCACGTTCTGCTTTAAAGTCTCACGTCAAATTAATATCTAAAAAACATTAGCAGCTGATAAGAGCACCTGAAAGTCCACCCAGTCACCTATTAAGCCCTATCTCTTGATTAGAAATACAAGATAAGATACAGTATATGCATTGAACATGAAGCAGATTCAGAAAGACAATCTCATATACAAAATCAAACAAAAAATCTGTTCCAAATCAATTCCATTATTAAAATAACCATTAGAAATGAAAACATACATCTGGTTTACATGATATGAAGTATAAGATAAGCCAAAAATGTCCAACATGATTTTGTTTGGCCAATCCAAGAGATATGAAAGTGCGAATTAAAGAGATTTTCATTTCTGAAAGGCTGGGATGAATAAGGCTCAGGTAAGATACAGATGCAGACTAAATCCTGCACCAACAGGTGAATGTTGTGCATCCAGCAGTTTACAGGCCAAAATTAGCTCGCAACGCATGGGCAGTTTTGCAAAACAAAGCACTTTTCCTAAGTGCCTTCAATGAACAAATGACTCGAACACTCAGCATAACCCTTCCAGGAACAGTAAAGACCTCCCCTCTGGAGGAGGCGGTCCTGTCCTGCTGTTCCACCCTTACCTTGGGCTGTCCCCCAGAAGCAGTCGGAGTGAGGGGAGATCGCCTTTGGCCGCTGCATAGTGGACGGGCAGGGCCCCTGTGTCCGTGGCCACAGTAGGGTCTCCTTCCCCGCTCTTAAGAAGCCAGTCTGTGATCTCATGGTGGCCAAATCGAGCTGCCAAGTGCAGGATAGTGGCCCCAGAGCTGTCACGATCCTGTCAGAGAAACACAACAGGTGGGTTTGTCAGCAAACAGCATGAGTTACTGTAGCGATGTAGCATTAGAGCACACAATGGAAATATGAACGAATGAGTACAGTTTAATCACTGTCCCTAAAGGCAGCTGCAGCTTTAAGAGAAGTGTAGAGAATTGAAATGAGAGTTCTCTAAAGGGTTCGCACTAGGGTTTATTACCGAGGTGTGTTTTAAGAGAAAGAATACATTTGTGCAAAGGGATTTGAGAAATAAGAGAAACTGATTATAAAGAGAGGGGATTCTCAGATACAAACAGTTAATGAGTGCTCATGTTTAAATTAGGTTTAAATACCTTCATTGAACTGTGCAGATGCATATATTATCTAGTACTGTTTAAACACAGGGTGGTTTGTCAAGATTAGACATTTATATGTCTAGGGCCTGAATCATTACAAAGACTTAATTACATTACAAATACAGTAGAAAATGCTAATGCAAAACTAGACTTATTTATGTCAAACAACTTTGATTTATTTCCCAGCTTACCAATATAATAGCCTTTTGTAGAAAAGTGTTTTTGCATGGAGTTTGTTCTTTTAAATCTTTACAGTGCTGCACTGGTTCCAGTCTAATCTGAGGGTAAAACTGTGAAATACTCTGCTGTCTTCCAGGCATGCATACGGTCCCATCATGGCACAAACCAGGTACATTAATGAAACTGTATTGCAGCTAGAAATGTGTACCAAAACTGTGGTAAAGACATAAAATAAGGCACAGAATGACAGACAAGTGCAGGAACATTACAGTACAAGGACATAAAAAAACTGCCACAGGAGAATGCATCCTAATAAATACCAGACACAAAGTTATTTTCAGATGGTGTGATGGCACAGTAGTTAGCATTGCTGCCTTACAGCGTTGGGGACCTGGGTTCAATTCCAGAGCTGGGGTGATATCTTTTTTATGTAGTTTTTTTCTCCAGGTTCTCCAGTTTCCTCCCACAATCCAAAAACATACTGGTAGGTTAACTGACTTCAGGAAAAACTGGCCCTGGTGTGAGATAAGCTGCATCTAAGTGTTTGTCCTGTGATGGACTGGACTTGTAGAACAGAGAAGTCTGTGGTGTACACTGTGAAAATATTAAATACAACAACATACAGTACAAACTAAAAAGCACAAGAATTTAAAAGCCAAGAGCAGTCTAAGGCTCACATTGAATCACAAGCTAAGAGACCACAGTGTCCTCAAGTTATCTACCGAGAGTACATTTCCAATGCACAGCACAGCCCAAAATGACCCAGCCTGGCAGCTGTCCCTGGCATAGACTCAACCCTGAGTGGCACCCAGGTAAGTGTTCACAAATACCTACTGAGAAGGGTCTGAAAGCACAGAGAGGAAGCTCACATTGCAATAAAAGGAACTGTGATGCTCTGGAATCAGTTCAAAGGAGGCTGACAAGGTTAATTACCAGCCTTAACAGAACTCAATCTCTTTAGCCTTAAATAGAAATGACTAAGAGGGGAAGAGAGAACTTTTATATTCAAATCCAGAAAAGCATTCGTGAAGCAAGTCAATGCTGGGTACTGCATTGTGATGAGCTATGAATCAAGAACCTAAGGTGAAACAAGTGAAAATGAAAAAGAGGGATAGTTAGGACTGAAAAAACAAGAGGCATTTGTTAGGAAAAGGGTCATGGGAGTTTGGAAGAAGTTAACCCAACACATTGTTGAAGCAGATTCTATGGCATCCTGTAAGAAAAGCCAGGATGAGATCCCCAGATCAATAAGATACTAGCCTGTGAACATAAACCTACTTTATGTTCCCCTATTGTCACACACCATCTGCCGAGAGGCTGGTCACAATGAAAGCCCAGGGTAATGTTGCTTCATGTCTCACATGAATGTGAAACACTGGCAAATGCATCCCAACATTTAATGGGTCAAGATTTTTTAACAAATTACTTTTTTAATACTGATTTTTATGATGGATTAAAAACTTTCACATCAGCGACCCATCTATGGCGATAATACATTTCCTTAGGTCTTCATCTCCTGACAGAGATGAAAGTTGTGCAGCCAATCCGATGAGCACTCTAAATGGACCTCATAAAACATACATATGAAAACATCCTACATTATTAATAGTCTAAGGTCTAATAGTTACAACCAGGTTTTGTTCAACATTCTGCAGGTGTGGTTTGCTCAAATGAAACATCAGTACAGCTGACTAATAATTAAATTAATAAAACTGTTAAAATCATTGACACTGCACGGTATTTAGAGAACCAAAGTTCTTAGCAAAGACAGAAAAAAACAAATTCAATATCTTTCAGTAATCTGGCAATTTTATCTAGAAATGTCACTGACATAATTGGACAGTTTAAAACAAACTCATCTCTTAGCATACTATTTGCATAGTGTAGTATTATGAAAGTGTTCATATACTGTATATATTGGCACCCCCAAATCTATAATAATTCTAATTCAGTAACTAAATAGAAAGGATTATGGATGTGTACTGAATTGTATAAATAAGCTGTTTCTTTTTTTTTGTTTTTTTTTTTAATATTCAGATGTTTTCTCCAAGGCATCCTGTGTTTTCTTGCAGTGACAAGGAAAAAAGTTACTTGAAAGGCAGAGTTTAACAGTAAAAATCTATATGGTAGTTTAACTATCAATGTAAGTCATGATGATAAAAGGTTCCAAATGTGTGGCAAGGTGGTGTAGCAGTAAACCTCACTGCCTCACAGTTCTTAGGTCATGGCTTTAATTGTGCCCCAAGTTGCCTTCTGTGCAAAGTTTCATGATCTCCCTTTGTCTGTGTGGGTTTTCTCCAGGTGTCTGGCTTTCCCCCTACCTCCAAAAAATATGCTGGTTGGGTTAATGGGTACGTGGGTGCTTATCTGGATGTACAGTAAATACAGTATGTGTGTGCGCCCTACTATGAGTAAATAACACACTGGAAACCTTACCGGGCTTTCTGATAATGCATAGTTGAGAACTGCATTTTTTAATGTTTAACAACTTTTTTGCTGATCTTACAAATCATGAGTCTAACAATGGCTCATAAAAAACTCAATGGAAGAAATGATTGTTCAGCTACAGAGAAAGATAACGCCCGCTTAAGTGAAGGCGTTTTCACACAAAAAGATCCAAGTGCTGACAGACTTTGCTGTGGGTGTTCAGACATCAAGCACATACGTTTCCCTACAGCCAACTGCCTTGTATCTTTGTTCTTGCTCTGCTCTTATGTCTTCCTAATCTCCTTTCTCCCAGGCTATATATAGAGTTCTTTCTAAATCCCCTGTAATGCATTAAACTCCTTTGAATTATAGGGCACAGTGGCTTTTTCAGTTCTGGCTGTGCCAAACTACTACCCCACATTTTTGTTTGCTGGGTTTATTACCCATGACATACTTTTACAAGTCTTCAAATATTCACTGGAGTTTATCTGGTTGAAACTCTTCCCATCACTGTGTAAGAGCAAGATGTTGCACTTTTAGGGAGAGATCAGAGGCTAACAAATGCCAGTCAAGGGAAGGTGTGACTTCTGTGAATAATCAGCATCAATACTACATACAGAAAGTGACAGATTCAGCAGCTAACAAGAAGGCATAAAAACTACCATGCCGCTACCATGAAAACTTTTCACATGTTTATTTCAAATAGATATGGTTGGTTCTAAAGTGCATAACGTTTTTTTTGTAATGCTGAAATCATTATTTGTGTTGGAATACTTTTGAGGTTAACCGCATGGTTTAATGGAACTCCATATCGCCAATATTAATTCCCCTTTCCTTTTCAAAAATCAGTCCAAAGTTTGACGGGGCTCACTCATAACATTTTGCACGCACTGCTGCAGCAGATAACCGCCCTGCAGAATACAGTGAGCGGAAGGATAGTGTGTAGCTTTCAGGCTCTGCGATTGTCTGCACTTTGGTGTTATGGTGCAACACAACTCTCATCTTCCTGTAGAGCTCTGGATGGCGCATTGAGGATGAAGGGATTCACAGCCAGCACTAAGAGTGCTTAGGGGACACAACAGGAGTCACGCTACATGTTATGGCTGTGAACAGGCCTTCAAAAGTGAGTTGTCGGAATCCTAGAGATTCATTCTTTGCCTTTCCTTCAAAACCATGTATGATTTGTCACTCGGCATTACCCTAGAAGCACGTCTGCAACAGCTTCTATCTTCATTCCTTTCCCTTCCTCCCCAGAACAGATACATGATTATCCATTAATGCTTGTCATTTAACTGTGAGACATTTCCTTTTTAACTCCTTGTCGCCGCAGTGCAAATACTTTCATATAGTTTCGATGGGGGTTAGAATGCAGGATGCCTCTTCAAGCCTGAAGCTGAATGTCTTTTAACAGCTTAAACAGGCTGTGCAGTTGCAGGATCTGAAACACTTCTTTAAGGACCAAAACGCCGCTGAACACACAAGACTGGAGACGCCTTGCCAGTGCCAGGTGGCATCTTGAATATTTTTCGATCAGGCTGGCCTTGGACAGAGGCAAACTATGTTTCAAGGTAGGACCAGGAAGAGCTCAAGTTGGCACATGCATGAGAAGGGGATTACAGAGCAAGGGTAGTAAAGAGGAGACATTAACCCATAGGGAAAAGCACGATTTGACCAAGGATGAAACTGATTGGATAAACATTAGATAACAAAACCTTCACAGGCACAGAGACTCCAGTCATGTAAACCTGCCAGCACTGTCATGGACAAACTGAGCTATAATCAGTAGGGGAACGCACATTTTCCTCGAGATCGTTACACCCAGGTTGTGCAAAGGCTTCCTTCCTCACAAGGAAACCTTTTGATTACTTCACGTAAAATTGATTCACCGTCTTTGAACACTAAAAACAACAGTCCAAATGAGCAAGACAAAAATAATGCATACAAAGACTATTCTGTATCATGATATCTAGATAAACAATTAACTGAAACACTTAACAGATTAACACTCACAGTCATGCATGTCATTCGTGCTAAAGGAAAGCTTTGCTTCCTTTGATACATTTAAGTAATCAGTTACAGAATATCACCCACCCAGCAACATTGGAAATAATAGGTGTGCTTTGGCTCTTGTTTATTGGCACTTGACAATACTTTTATTCTGCAAATGAAAAAGGTTTTTCCGTGTGAGAAGAAAAAAAAGTTTTGACACGATTTGCACAGCACTTTAAACTGAAAATAAAATTTCAGTTTAAAAATGCATTCTCACTTGGGATAACTAGCTATTATTGTAACATGCCTGGCTCGTATTCGAGGTTAAAGTTAAAATGCACCCTGCTGAACCAACTCTTGTAAAAACGCCGATACACCTCTTCTGCAGCCCATTTAACACAACTCCGATTTGCTGCGAGACTCCAAACGGGTTACCTGCTGTGCAACATGAAAAATGATTTTTACTTACGTCTGCCCGACAGCCTCCTTGCGTGATGAGCCACTGCAGGCAGGTCAGGTTGCCCGTGGCGGCGGCATCGTGGGCAGGGGTCGCGCAGTTCCTGGCGAGGCCGTTCCCCGGGAGCCCCGCTTCGTCCACCAGGTACCGCAGGCAGGTGAGCTTACCTGCCCGGGCGGCGTGGTGGACGGCAGAGGCGCCCAGCGCGTCTTTGACACCCGCATGTAACAGCTTCTCGGCGAAGAGCGCCTTGAGAGTCTGTACATCCCCTTGCCTGGCGGCCAGGAGAGCCGTCTCCACTGCCATTCAAACCGCTCGTCACTACGTCTCAGATGTGTTTATTGTACTGCAGCATCAATGAACAGGCTGTTATTATTATTTTTTTTACTTAAAAATATATATTGCACTATAAAGAACTGGGGTATCCCTTACTAAAAGTGTTTTCACATGCATTTGTGTCGCTTCATTTCGGTTTTAAATCGAAAGACTAGCCGCCGTCATTGTCGTTTCCTCTGTATTGACTACTGAAAATTGCGAGACTGGAGGAGTTACAACACTAGCTCTATCACTTACACGAGAGCTGGGGTATTAATGTATTTTAAATGTTTGACACGTGATGCACCGTAAATATAGTGTACAGTGCAGCGCACTCTCAATACATCCTCTCGTCGAAGGCGACATTTAATACAAAACTACAAAACGTGTTCCAAGTATAATCATGAATGTCTGAATTCAACACGGACTCTACAAGACTAAATGAAAAGAAAGCAGCTTGCGTGTACCTCCTGCGTCCCTCAGTCCTGCACAGCGTCCTTCCTAGAAAGACCACAAAGTTTCCATCGCCTCGGCTCCCTGCTCTCCTCTCCTCACACACAGCATTTCGCCCGACAAGGAGGAGACAGCGCCCGTGAAACCGGTCTCCTTCGCTAACTCGTATCTTACATTTCTCGTTCAAAATAAGCGGTGTGTTCTGTTTATTTCTGTCTTCTTTCCTTCTACAACGGCCACATTAATCCCTCCCTTCTGTTCTGTTCCACCCCGGCTGTTACAGCTAGCTAAATGGGCTCAGCCACTTGTTGAATAATCCATGAGGGGAGGTTCGCTTGTCAACACTTCGGTCATTTTGGAAGCGACCCAAATCTTAAAGGGGCAGCAGCAAACCTGGAAACAGCGCAGTCCCCGCTCTTCGTCAGTGCCTTTCTATTCTCTTACCTTTATAGGTGAATTTGACATGTTTTTGTTATTAAAATACTGCGAGTAATACTGTATGAACCGTGGTGCCCGTTACAGAAGATGACATTTTATTAAACAACAGCAACAACAAAAAAAAAACAAACTAAATATCTACATCTTTCCCCAACTTTGTGTCACAGCCACCTAAAATCAATCATAATTTTCTCCTTTTCATAACAAAAGACCGCATCTCAGATTGGATACAGAAATAATGAGCGCTGAATTTGATGCTGAAGGGACTGGTGAAGAAAACGTGCATCATATTAAAAAAAAGCTTATAAAGGTCCCCTATTTCAGCCTCTGTGGCTCAGCTGGCTTTGTAGCAGGTGGTGAGTGAAAGGAGAAGGTCGCTCAGATTCGCGATCATTTCGGGTACCCCAAGCTAAAGAACACATTGGGGGTCTGTAGGGGTGGGAGATGCTGTACAGCGCCCATCTAACGTTTTCTGAAAAAAACGACTAATAAGAAAGGGGTAAAGATTTTTCAACAGCAGTCTTTTTTGTGCAAGAACACAGAACCCTATCAGGAATTGCGCTGAATTGCGCTTAATTTAAACTTAATTTAAACAGCTTTCCACATAAACCTCTGCCCAATTAGCTACTGTATATCCCATTGACAGATTGCCTGATATCTGGAAAGAAAGTTACAAAGGCTCGCCCTCTTCGTAGATGCACTGAGGCATTCTGAGGCCAGAAATGATTTTATAGGTATGACCTCATCATCTCTTTACTAACAGGCGGATGTCCTTCTTCCTGAGCACCTTGCTCCGCAGGTCTTTTCTTGCAGCAGTTTTCATACGCTGATATAATGGCGGTAGAAAAAGCACCCAGCGTGGCCCCAACAGCCATCCACAAGGAGTATCCATATTCAAAACTGGGAAACCCCGGAATTTTTAGAGATACCTGCTGGTAACAATGAAGACAGTGTTAATGGAAGCTTCCTTGAAACCACAACACAGCGCATACTGTATGAGCACTAAAAAGAATCAAATTTCTCTCTTTACAGTAACTGGGGGAATATTTTCCACAAAATCAATTTATTATGGAGCTTTCCCATAGGAGAAAAAAGGATCTCCTAAAAAGTGTGATCAACCTGTAGCATTTCTGACTGAATTAGAAAAAAAAACTTACCTCAAATTGATGCATATAGTAAACGTGCACACAGTATCTAACAATCCCACCACAGGAAGACAGACCTGAAATAAAGGCACTAATCACAAGCAGCAATTTACCATGCATGACACATCTGATACATTTTTAACAGTGCTCTTCCCAGGAGTTTTATTCCTGGGTGTAAATTAAACACTATAAAAAAAACACAACATCAGTAAAGATGTTCACTACACTCACTTGCTGTTCAACTGCACGTTAGGCTCTGACTAGATCAAACGTTTGACACTTGCCCACTAATTTTTACTTTTGTACCCAGAACAGGTGGCAGGTTTCCATGGGGTAGGAAGTAAAGGCCTCAGTCAAGCAAAAAGCACCCATCAAGTATTGGGCATGAAGTGTACTAAAGGCAAGTTTGATCATATTTTGATTTTATCCAGGCCTACTAGAATGAATAGGGAGATGGAATTTGCTTACTGATGGGCTTGTGATCACATTACCTTATCGAATAACTCCACTCATGTGTATGGAAAAGTAAGAGTGGCAGATGCAGACATAGCACAAGTCCTCTACTGGGGAAGTAATGGACCAGTGGGGATTAGAAGGCGAAATGAGATTGTTCTGGGAAGCACTTGGGGATCCTGCCTTGCAGGGTAAGAGCCCCCAAACGTTATTCCCTAGTCAGGTGCTTGGAAATCAAACGGCAACTCACCTACAAAGAAGTAGAGTCCTGCAGACACTCTTTGTAGCTGTCTTCTAACTGTGGGATCTCTATAGAAATGAAAATGTTTGAAACCAAGAAGGAAGAGCAAAAATGCTGCAGTGCTCATTATGCTGGAGATGATGATGAGAGTTCGGGTGAGAACTAAAGTTGCTGTAAAAAACACAGAATGGACTAATTAATCTTTGCAGTAACCAGCACAGCAGGCTTTGAACACTATCAGACGTCTTCATGG